GAGACGAGACCACGACGAAGAATCAGAAAAAAAAACGGTCGTTTGTTGGCACCGACGCCGAAGGAAAGAAGAAAAGATGACTGAGATCTGAACAATTAGGGATCGGATCTGAAAAAGAAACACGCGTTTCTTCTTCTTTTTTATTCTTTTTTTTCATTTTCTTGTAATTTTACCCTTATACCCTTGTTGTTACAGTAACAACAAAATGGGTGTTGTTATTCTATCCGGCCCCGCTGAAATGAGACATTTATGAAATGGATCAAAGTACATAATTGACTTATTTTATAACGGTTTCATCCAAACAACCCCTTATTTTCACATGACATCATCAAATCCGATTTCACTTTTTTTTTCAACGCAAGCCGAGAGGGCATGGGACAAAAGACACAACTCAGTTACAAGGAGAACTTCAAAAAAGGTAGTAATCCATAAGTAAGTGAATTCCTGATGAATGGGCCTGCGTTGCCAATACATGGGTACCTCTATTAAAGCTCCAAGAAGAAAAAGGAAAGGACACAAACTAAAAAAAAAGAGAAAAGGGAGTGAACTTCCTCCAAGAAAGTCCTGCTCGAGAGTGTGTAGCGTTGTTTGAAATTAAGAGTGGGTTTCAATTTCTCTAAGTCGCAAAATGAAAGGAAGAATTGTGGGAGGAGAAGCTGATTGGTGATTGAGAATTAAGATTAGTGGTTCCAAAACTTGGTCGCCAGAAGGACAGAGGATAAGAGAAGACCAAAGAGAAAGGGAGGGTTTCCATTTCTTTGAGTTAGACCCGCCAGGCAGAGATTAGAGAGAAAAAGAAGGTCAAAGAGAAAGGACATCTCAATCGTCCCGTTTCATTACTTGCAACGGTAACCGGTTGCTAACCGCTACCTAGTTAGTCGGTTAGTCTATTAACTGGTTTCATTCCGATAACGAATGTCGGCAACAATTTAGCACTAATCAGTATACCGATAATCGACCGATTACCACCCCTAGGTTCCCTTATCATGATTTATTTGCCTTTCTCCTAATCAGTAAGTGAGCTCAGGGTTACATGCCTCGCCTTTGTACATATTCTCCTTAGTAATTATGATTCCTCCTAGGGGTATACCTTTAGGCATTTTCCCCTTAGGGGATATCTTTAGGCAAAAACGTCTCATCTCCAGCCAAATCAGCCATTAGACAAGCTGCTTCATATGGGATCTCGTCCTCTGTCTCCTATTACACTTAGGGATGGCAATTACCCACCCATGGGTAATTTTACCCAAATCCAAATAGATCCATTTAGTATGGGTAGGGTTTAGATGAAGTGTATATGGGTTTGGGGGTTTGTAGATGGGTTTGGGTTAGGTATGGATATTGCTTTCATAATGTAAATGGGTATGGGTTGGATATGGATATCCATCTACTTGAGGGTGTTTTAACTACACACACAAAAATTGAACATATTTGTAAAACTTGAAAAGTTTAGGTACCAAAATGTAAGACCAAAAAATTTTAGGTACCAAAACATAATTTTCCATCAATATTTTGAGGACTTATATGCAAAAAATTAAATTTAGGTACTAAATCTGCATATCTATTTAGTTTAGGTACCAAACTGTAATTTGCCTTTGGGCATGGGTACAAACCCAAATCCATGTGTTAAAAACTCAACACAACCCAAGTAAATGGGTATGGGTACAGATCCATCAAACTCTACCCATCTACCATTTATTTGGAATCCATACCCAACCCAATTGGGTTGGATAGTAAAATACCCATAGGTATGGGCAAAATTGTCATCCCAAATGATCATATCTAGACTCTAGTTATGTAAGGGTTATACAATCTATGATTATTCACCCTAACCCATATGCAATTGATCTTAATGTGGCTTTAGAACTTGGAATCAACTTGCATCGCTATTAACCCAAGGTTCATAATTGGATGGGCGCACCCCAGCCCAACCCAAACGCGCCCATCATGGACTTCTTCGGTGCCTCAAGAGAAAGGCCAATACTATGGTGCCGCGATAAAAAGTGTGGCACCGGTGACGCAATTTTTGATTGGTCCACGTAGAATTGATGTGGCTGCTGGGTTGGTTTAATGAATAATGGTCCAAATTCGGTGGCCCATTCGAAATGGCCCAACCGGCCTCTCCCAAATTATTAAATTAACGGAGAGCCATGCAAGACCTTAACGTCGTGTAGTTTTTTTCCCTCGACGTTTCACAATTGTAGTTCACAATCCGTAAATTCTGCTCGACATCTGCCTCTTCTCGCCGTAGCCCCTCCGGCCGCAGCAAGCAGGTCCTCAAGCCTCCAAGCGGAAGATTGTCTCTTTCAATGGCCTCTGCATCATCGATCTCGCCATCCGTTCCTGCGCCTCTGTGTTGTCCCGTTTCAATGTCGCTCTGTCGCACGCCACATGACCACCGTTGCCAATCGCAGAGCAGTAAGACGGACGCAATGCCCAATTATTTGTGTCCTGAATCTCAAATCATGAAAAAAAATATTGGTCCCAAATCCCAAATCTACTTGCGACTCATCTTTTCCATCTAATTGTTCCAGGGGAATATGTACAGCAGACAGATCCAACCGCTGCTCCATTCTCTTTCTCAGAGGAAGTGAAGGAGATAAATAATCTGTATTTCAGATCGGGTCATCATCGATGGGCATCTCTTCCTTTCTTATATCATCAATGTAAACTATCTTGTCACTTAATGTCTATGCTCAATTCAGTTGGAGGAAACCTTGAAGAAAAATGAATTGTTTATGAATGAACTGAGCTCCATATGTGACTTCAATTTTGGGGGTATTTGGATAAGCCCCTATCCCCAGCACACCATTGCAAGCTGAATTGACCATGTGGAAATAGTGGCTGGACCAATTGACCATATTGAAAGAGAAATTGTTGTACATAATGATTGAAGAGTCATTATATGAAGCTGCAAAAGTGGATCTATGGAATGGAAAGTGGATCAATTGACCACATGGAAACGTCTGACTTGATTATATAACTCTTTTTCATGATTATTAGGAGTACGGGGAAATTTATAATGTATTCATGAATTTTTGCCCAACTGTGACTTGATTATTCTTGTTACCAAACACCAGTATATGCTTTCAGATTCTCTGGTCTTTTGCTATTCCATCAAAGATTTCAATACCAATTCATTTTATGGTCTTTTGCTATATCTCACATAAAAGAAAGCCTTTTGACCTCTCTAATCGCAATATCATGAGCTATGCACAACTGGAAATGCATTGCCACGGACGATCAGGATCACAACTCTCAATTTTAGATGGTTTGCACTCTGCCCCCATGGCAGGGCCTGGGACTTGACCAAATTGTAGGCTAAAAATCTTCTCATTTTCATTTCCTGGATAATCTTATACATAACCAAATGCATCCCATTAGCTTACAACTTATAACATACAAGGAGGAAAGACACACAAATGCTTAACAAGGTGATGGCAGACAAGAATCAAAAGGCTCCCCAATGTGTACTCCTAGATTTCCTACAGCTTCTGCAGCTACTACTGCTGATACGGTGAGTAATGGGTGTACTGAATCCATTCCTAACAGGTCTCGAAGTTCAATCAGTCGCCTTTGCTCCCTTGTAAACCATGAATTCATTGTATCCTTCTCTCATTTATCAAGCCACCAACATTAGCCTTTAATGATGGAAGAAGAATCAATGTTGGTCCCCTGATGTATATAGAAGATTCATCCCTTCCTCGCTCATTTGTTGAACTTCTTGAGGCGATAGAATCCTTATGCACCAAAAGCATCCTACGAGGTCCCTATTTTAAAACAAATAAACCAAACACAAAAAATCTCAGTTTCCATTTTCATGCAACGGAAAGCAATAAAAAGTAACCAAGATGAGATGGAAGGATGGATCATGGATAGTCCAAGAACAGAAAAGTGCAGGAAGCCAGGAACATAGAATCACCTGCTGCTCTTTAAACCCAAATATACAAAGAGAAACCTCTTAAACCTTTCAACTGAAAACTGACCGTAGCCAGCGAGCGAGTGTGGTACCTTAGGTATCTATTTGACGAAAAGTGAGAGAGCCAGCGGGAGGTCACCGGCGGCGACAACTCGACACCGCCTAGAACTTGATTTCCAATATTGCAACAAGGAGGCGCAATACGAGGATGGCGAACCACAGTAAAAGGCGACTCTACTCTTCTCTGACTTGTGAGTTGTCTGCTACCTTGCCGGCGGGAGACAGAGCTAGGTTCGAGACGACGGCAGATACCTTCTCCTCGATCAAATCAGAATAACTATAGGAGGAAACAAATGTAGACCGTGAAGATGGGATCGACGAAGGACAATTCGCTCGGAGTGATTATCGAGAAACCGTCGGGAGAGGGAGATCGATGAAGTTTTTTTTTTAGTTCGTTTGATTGATCTCTGTTTTCTGTTCTCTCTGACTTCCCCTGTTTTCTGTTTTCTTATTAACTTAATCATAATTTAATAAAATAAAAGATAAAATATGGTGACGGGTGTGGTTTGGTTCTCCGTCAACTTTGATGAAAACGGTTTGGGCCACTTCTCATGGGCCGGATTGATTGGATAAGATTTGATAAATCCAACCATGCCACGGAACAGTCCACGTGTACCAATCAGAGATTGCGTTACCGGTGCCGCACTTTTTACGGCGGCACCATAGTATTGGCCCAAGAGAAAATAATAACAAATAGTGTTAGCCCAATTTCATCGTCCTCGAAAATAAATCCCAGTCTCCACAGCCACGACGACAATCAAGCCTCTTCTCGTTTCACTTCTTTGGTTCCAAGTCCTGTAACTTCCACTCATCCCAATTCTCAGCGCTGCAACTTCCGGCTTCAGCGAAGAGCGAACCGCTGTTTCTGAATTGCCAATGTTTCATCCCTTCCATCGCTCATTCCTGCCCTAAACCCTAGAAGACCGCCGACGCCTCCACTCCATCACCACCTCCCCAATCTTCCCTCCGACTAATCCCACCAACAAATTCCTTGGCCCCAAATTGCCAGTGCCAGGCCAAAGCTATGGCTTCCAGAGACCAGGCTGTGGCTCTACTATGCGCCGCTAGAACGCACGGCGATGTTGCTATCAAGCTTTCTTCCCTGAGGCAGGCCAAAGACATTCTCTTGTCCGTAGACCCGTCCTTGGCCGCCGAGCTCTTCCCGTACTTGGTCGACCTTCAGTATTCGCCTCACAATCTCGTTAGGAAGATGCTCCTTGAGTGAGTTCTCACCCAAACCCTAATTCCCGCTCCATCTCCTTTTTATGCTTTTTATATTTTACTTGTCCTGCTGCAAATTTTCGTACTAAAAATTGCCCTCTTCTGCGCGCCAGTTCCTTGGTTCCCTGCTAGAATCCTTTACAAGATCGCTCCTTTTTAGTAATGTAGTTAACAGTGTATCTTCACTTTGGTTTTAGGCAACAGCATTCTACTTCCAAGCGGAGATAGTGATTAATTGATATGTTTTTTTGATAATGAATTGACTTGTTTGGTGCCCTGGTTTCATCTTTTGTGGGACTATGTACTTGCAATCGCATTGCATTGATATGTTTGGCTTGCTACTATACTCATCATTTTGGTCCGCTGAAATTTACATATCCACCAGTTAGATGTTTTCTTAGACATTGTCCTGCAATCTGTGTGGTTATTATGCAGTGCTCTTTAAATGTCCTCTGTCTGTTTGGCAGGATAATTGGTGAAATTAGTATGAAAGCGATGGAACATTGTCACCTGTTAGTGCCTGTTTTGTTGGCTCTTCTAAGAGATTCGGATCCTATCATTGCGAGGGACGCTGTTGCCAGTGGCATACATTTTTACTGTGCTGTTCTGGAGGAAATGGCATTGCAGGTCTCTCTCTCTCTCTCTCTCTCTCTCTCTCTCTCTCTCTCTCGAGTTCAGTGGATGTACCCATTGCAAGTCATTTAGCCTCATGGGAATTTAAGGTTTTCTGTATCTTATGTTTTGGGATTTTGCTTAAATCACTATGGATTAGTTGTCGAAAGAGAATGAAATTAGTGTCGCTACTAGATGAAAATGTAGGATGACAATAAGGAGAGCGACCCAATATCTTCGTTGTTCACTGCAAACATATAAAAGAAGTTTATTGGCTAAACGCTCTGGAAGTCTTAAAATGAAATTTTCTTAACGCATGCTACAGAAATCTGCTTCCTAGCGAATCAGAAATCTGCTTCCTAGCGAATTATTAGGGAAAGAAACATATTGTTGTCGACAGTTTATTGTGATGGTTAGTTAGTGTATATGTTGAATGTGTGTGTGTGTGTTGGGGGGGGGGGGGGGGGGGGGGGGGGGGGGGGGGGGGGGGACGGGACAACTTGTTGGTATTGCAGAGCTAAGTAGTACTTGCTGGTTCAGACCCATAATTTGGGAGAATCTTCTCCATCACGATGTTCCCTTCATCTTTTATTCAAGGCTCTTGTGTGGTTATTCTGGATAATCACTGTCCATGTTACTAAGATGTGTATTTTTGCCTATCTGTAATGTGGTTGTTCACATTCTATATGCAAGTTTACTAATCTGCCTTCTTTCTGTGTTTCATTAAAGTTTCTCAATAAACAGAATGGTTGCCTCCCTCTCTATGGGCTCCATAATTTAGTATTTGATGTTCTATTTCGTCATTTCTTCTAGCTATTGTACATCTATTTCTTCACATGGTTGTTTTAATTCTTAATATGTCTGCAGTACCTGTCTGTCTAATCTTCTACCAACAGTTGTGTCTTACATATGTCCTGTTTTCCATTTTGTTGGAATTATAGTTTCACCAACGTGGAAAAGTAGAACGCTGGCTCGAAGAACTCTGGCTTTGGATGCTTAAATTTAAAGATTCTGTTTTTTCCATGGCTTTTGAGGTATGTCTAGCCTATTCTGCGATTCTGTGACCTGAACCCTATTGGTTCCACTTGTCAGGTCTAGGACCTGACATTACCAAGATACTTTGATTGGGAAATAGGTTAATGATATATTTTCTTTGTAACCTTGTAATTGCATTTTTATTTGAACAGAAGATTCTCTGTTTATAACCTGAATGTTGCTTGAACTTTGTTCTAGGCTGGTTCCATTGGACCGAAGCTGCTGGCATTGAAGTTTCTGGAAACATATATTTTACTTTTTACAGCTGACACCAATGATTCCGACAACAGTGTTGTGGGAGGTATTGCATCTTGACCCTTAAGATCTATAATAAGAAATTGAAACGATAAGATTGACGAAGGAACTTGGGGTGCAAGTTCTTTGATGTAGTTTCTGTGTTTTTGTATGTAGTTTTATTTTGTACTGATTTTATCAAGGTTGTTGCAGGAAGTAGACGGTTATTTAATATATCATGGTTGGGAGGTTACCACCCTGTGTTGGATCCAGTTTTCTTCATGTCTGATGCAAATAGGACTTTAGGTATTCTATTGGATTTTCTAAGGTCGCCGAGAAGTCTTCCTGGTTCATTGATAATTGCCATTGTTAATTGGTGAGTCTAATTAAGTTGCATGCATAATTCCAATTTATCTCATTCAATTTCTTACTTGCTAACATTATATCCATCTCAACTGAACTGTTACCGCCTTTTGTTTGATTGTTCGTTTAATTTTATTGTTTGAGTTATTAGATCCACCTGTGTTCAATGTGATATGATTGACGTTGTTGGAAACATTAATTAATTAAGGTGAACTCATTCTCATAAAACGTGTAATTATTTGCAACCTAGCAACATGCCTGCATCTATTTATGTTGAATAACTTATATCTCACTTCCATTGAAAAGCAACCCATGTTTGAGTCCCTTGGTTGCTTATTCCTCTAAAATCTGATGAAGAGGTAAGTCAGGTGGGTAAGAGGCATGGATTGATGCTGCATATTGTCTCAATGAAAGTTGGTTCGTTGCATTTGTTTGCTGTCGGATGGTATATTTGTTATGCTTTAAGGTTATATATATATAATTACATTGATGCTGGAGATCCTTGTGGAATGCTTCAATGCTTTTCTGATAACATACGTCGATGGAAAAATCCGTCATGTTCTTAAATGATTAAGATTAAATAACATGCTCACTTTATGTTCAGATGATTGATATTGATTGACAAGAGGAAGAAGAATTTTAAATCATATCATTCATGGTTGAATGGCAAGGCACCAACATATAACCAATTATAACTGTCTGTTTCCATTCAGATATCTCATCTTCTACTATCCCGTTCAAACTTTATTTGTACTTTACAGGGTGTATGTTACCTGTTGTGCTTGATTCTTTTCCTTTAAAATTTTGGAGGGATAGTGGCTTGGAAACAAGTTGTAGTACAAGTTCAACTGCTTGTTTGTCACGTTATTGCAGCATGCTGGCCAGCTTTCTCATGCGGAATGTACTGGGCTTGGATACTGCACCGTCCAGATAATGGAAGTTTACAGTGTAGACAGTATCCCCACCTCTTACAATTCTTTGGATCACCAGTGGCCAGTTATTGGAATGGTTAACTGATGGTAAAATGGTCATCCCATGTGCTGAGGGATACTGGGTGGTCAAAGCAACACAATTTATCTTCATAAACCTGTTAGACAGGCCATTAGTTACTACTGTTAGTTGAGGTTTTGTTATGTAGTGCTTACTGTCGAGGATGCACGGGTACTTGAGAGTATTATTGTTTTGCTACTGTTGATATACACAATTAATACCTATTTATTGGAAATTACTTTTAAACTGGGTTTGACCCTGCTTTATATGTTTTGCTCATTATTATGTTTTCAAGTTCCCATGTCCGATAATCTATTGTGTCAATCTTTTAAGCTGTGGATGGCCCCGTGATATCTGTTATGGTCCATTGTGATTCTGATTCCACCCCCATCAGCTCACAGCAGTCATGTCTGCTCTTTACATGCTTGTTAGTCCTTTTGGCCACGACATAACAGCATACTGTATGACTTCACCTAGAAGCTACTTCTTTGTCTTGTTGTAAAGCTGAGTATTATAGAAAAGGTATTGAAGGGATGTGGTGCTCTTATGTTTATGACACTCAGAATGACATTCCTGTTGACGATATCAAATAAAAACAGTCTCGAAATCGAAAACTGGCATAATTTAGCAAATGAACTCAAGTTTAGGTATCAGTTCTTTCTAACTTGAGTGGGGCGGATGTCACTGAAGTAATTCTTATTCTGCTGTTCGGAAGTGAACATACCGTGAATTCAGATGTTACATTGCTTTTGCTAGGGCCTTCTTCTAGTGAGAAGTAGCCTCGTTTCACAGTATGTCATGATTAACTCAAAAGTGGCATTGATTAACTCTCGTTTCTGTTCTATTTTCCTGGGCTCAGTGTGTTGAACTTTTAGTTTTGCTTTTTGTATTCCTGAATTTCTTATTTCTGTGTTCATCTGCCCTTTGTTTTGAATTAATGTGTTTATCTGCAATTTACCCTTTCTACTTTCTTAAATATGTTGGCTGTTTCCTTTGTAGATCATATGTAGTTAATCTGTACAGCCTTCATGATACTGAAAAATTGTCCAAGAGCCATGACATATCTGTCTTTTCAACAGTCTTTCAGCTATAGCAAGGAAGAGGCCTATCCACTATGATATCATCCTTTCAGCATTGCTTGATTTTGATCCGAACTTTGAGACTGCTAAGGGTGTTCTTCCAGTCAGTATCCAGTACTCCTTGAGGACAGCCTTTCTAGGATTCCTTCGGTGCACCAGTCATACCATTATAGAGGTAAATATTTTCTATTATTAATTGTCTTTATTTTTTCTGTGTGCACTCTTCCCCTTTTGGCTCTGGTCAGTTTGAATCTTTTGTATACGCAGCTTTCAGAAATCTAGGATATTTTCAAAATGTATTGTTGATTTCTTATTATAGCCTTTTATTTTAGGCAATAGTTGATCGTGCTCTCTTTATTATGACTAGTTTGTATCAATATCAGCTGATGCTAGATTGAAGGCTACTAAGCTTTAACTTTCGATAACTTGGAAGAGAAAATTATCCTGTGGCCGCATGCAAAGAATCTATTCAACAAAGTAAATTTTAGATCATCAGTTGCTCTTACCCCGCAGAAGTAACAAAGCCAAATAAATATGCGAAATTAATTATCCATTTTATTATTTATCACCCAAAAGGAATGAAAACTAGAAAAAAGGAAAGTTTGTGATGGTATCAAGACACAGACGTCTAGTACTCTCGGAAGGCCAAAGTGCAGGACAATAATGCATTAGTTTCTCTCTATTGTTTGAGCTGCGGGTCTGTAACTAAAGCCATAAAATGAATCCGATTGCATCTTGTCAGGTTGTTGATGTCTGAGCATTGTGCTGCTGCAATGATATGTTTTCCTCTTTGCATCTCTTACTAGCCTCAACTCTTTTTGATGTTTTCCTGCTTTCTCCCTCTCTCTGATCTTTTCTCAGTCAAGAGATAGGTTGTTGATGGCTTTACGTGCCTTGAATGCTGGGGATGCTGCCGATCAAGTTGTCCGCCAAGTTGATAGAATGATAAAGAATGGCGAGCGTAGCTCACGTGAATCCAGGTTCAGTACCAGGGTAATGCCTCCTTAAGCAGAGTAGTTCCTAGCAGTCACTGTTAATCCGTTTTATCATAAGATATGATCTAATAAATTTCTCTCTCCTGGTGCTGCCTTGATGAAATTAACTTTGGTCATTAGGATGATCAACAATCAAACCAACCAGTCATTTCAATGGACCAATCGAGGAAAAGATCAATGCCCCTGGATACCGATGAGCAAGCTAATGGTCACGTGGTGTCTCTCAAGCGAACTCGTTATGACCCGTCGAGTATGGCAACTCACACTGATCATTCTGAGAAGGATTCTATTCTAGGCAATGGCACGGCAGCTAATGCCTCCCTAGTAGATGGTGATTTGACTCCTGCTGAACAGATGATTGCTATGATTGGTGCATTACTCGGGGAAGGAGAGAGAGGGGCTGAATCACTTGAAATTCTCATTTCAAATATTCATCCTGATCTACTTGCTGACATTGTCATTACTAATATGAAACATTTGCCTACGACCTTTCTATCTTTACCGAAGGTTGGGAGCTTGCCAATTAGTCGCCAACTTGGCTCTCAGACCAGTCCTGCACATGTTATTGCTCCACCTATCATTCCAACCCAGTCTACTTCTCTAGCCCCTTCCTCTCATGTTTCAACATCTGCTCAACCTATCAATATTTTGTCTCAAGCTGACACATCAAATGCCAATAGCTTCCCGACAGATTCTAAACGTGATCCGAGACGGGTATGTGGCTGTTCTCCAGTTAATTTTCCCCCATCTATTTCTGTTTATCATAGTGGGTTTTCCCTTTTTTTCTTCTTCTCACAGGCTGTTAACATCCGAGTTTTTTTCTTTCTAATTCTAATATGACTCCTGTCTGATTATTGCAGGACCCCCGCCGCCTGGATCCACGTCGTACAATGCCGCCTGCACCAACATCTATCGTGGATGATATTGGTGTCGTGGAATCTGAATTTGATGGGTCTTCTACTTTAAGTAAGTCTTCGTCATTTTCTGTGCCAACACCTGCTGAGAATGACCTGGATGCTTTACCGTTAAACTACACAGTTAACGTAAAAGAAGAACCCACCCCTGAACTGGATCAAGTTTCTACGAAAGATGAGGGTTCATGCACAGCTGAGGAACTTGTTCATACTTCAGAGTCCGATATTGTTCCAGAACATTCGTATTCTCTTCCTGATGAAGACAACCGTGATGCATTAGCAGTTTCAGATTTTGAAGTGGCATATGATGCTGAAACGTCTTTCGTGGAATCTGATGAGTATTCTTCTCCTGCTGATTCAAAAGAATGTGTTACTGAGGAGACTTTTGGGGATTTAGCCGAGCTTCCGTTGTATGTTGAACTGGATGAAGCACAACAAAGAAATGAGAGGAACACAGCAATTGAGCGGATCATTGAATCCTATGGGAAATTATCTGACGCTGATTGCGGAAGCCAGATGCGCATGGCACTCCTTGCTCGGTTAGTTGCTCAGGTAAGGATCTCCCATTGGCTGTCTCTTATTTCTGGTGTATTTTCTTCACCCCAAAATTTCTTTGGTTCTTCTGTTGTTAATCTTCCCTACTCTATTCGTTGGATCTATGTTTGGAAACTGAAAATTGTCGGTTTTAATCATACTTTCAACTCACCAACTGGTTACTGATTTTTGAGGTGATGACATGTAGTATCAGTGCAACCTGTATTACAGTGTCACAGCTGTAGTTTATATTGCCGTTGTCCTTTTTCAGATTGACGCAGATGATGATGTTGTTGAGCTGCTGCAGAAACATATAACAGTGGATTACCGACAACAGAAGGTAGTTGCTATTTTAAAACTTCCTTGATTAATTACTTGTGCTTTATCACTACTTATCACCTGTTCCTTTTTCAATTGTCTTCATTTTTATCTGTTTTTTTTATCTCTCTCCACTCTTTTTCAGGGGCATGAGCTTGTACTTCACATCCTATACCATCTGCATTCTCTCATAGCTGTAGATGCAAATGGAAACCCCTCATATGCTGCTGCAATATATGAGAAATTTCTAGTGGCAGCGGTAAGTGTTTCTTTGTATTCGCTGGTTTATCATCTTCCACCAGGTATTCAGATTGAAGTTCTATCCTTTTTTTTTTTTTTTTTGCAGGCCAAATCTTTGCTTGATGCTTTCCCAGCATCTGACAAGTCGTTTTGTCGACTGTTGGGCGAAGTTCCGCTTCTGTCCACGTCAGCATTGAAATTGTTGGAAAATTTGTGCTATTGTGATGTTTTTGATTCACATGGAAATGAGGTTCGTGATGTTGAACGAGTCACTCAGGGTCTTGGTGCCGTTTGGAGTTTGATTCTTGGGCGACCAAAGGATCGGCAAGCATGTTTAGATATAGCGTTGAAGGTAACTTTTAATTTGTGTAACTGGTGGACTTGGTAGGATCAGCACAGTTTGTGGACTTGGTAGGATCAGCACAGTTTTTCGGCTTGGATCATGCTTCTGTGTTCCATCTGTTTCCTTTGTTTGCTTCCTTCAACACGAATCATTATGTTACCCTTGCAAATCGGATTGGACTTGGTAGGAAATCTGAGATAAATGGATAATCTATAAGAAATCTTAGGGTCCACTAATGTGCTGTCATGGGATAATGTGATCCGTTATGTATGGATATATGGCATGTGCAGATGCCTGATGCATTTTCCTTTTTATCGCAGTGTGCTGTCCATTCACAAGATGATGTCCGAGCAAAAGCTATTCGGCTGGTATATGTCTCTATACAACTCTATATTTATTTTTATGTCCCCAATGGGCTTGATTTCGCTAATTGAAACTAAACTTATCATCTGCTTGCGGAGCTGCAAGCTCTCTTTCATTTTCTTGAAATTGAGTATTATTTTTCTTTTGAAAGGTGGCGAACAAACTTTACCAGCTAAGCTACATTTCAGAAAATATTGAGCAATTTGCAACCAGTATGTTGCTATCTGCCGTAGATCAGCAGTCCTCAGATGTGGAGCTTTCTCAGTCTGCTTCCGTTGCGCAAAGAGAAGGCGAGGTATGAGTCCTAATTTGTTTTGTTCGGATTCTGCTTAATCGAGATAGAATATCTGCTTTTTAGCAGCACTTTCTGCAAAAGTCTGGAACTAGGCTGACAATCAACATTCATCCTAATCATTGGAGCTGATTGTTTTTTTAATCTTTTGTTTGGGATTGGAAGAGGATGGTACTGGGATATTGTGACCCTACAGCGCCCTTTGTTGTCTGACAATCAACACTCATCTAAACTTTGGAGCGGATTGTTTTCTTTAACCTCTTGTTTGGGATTGGAAGAAGATGCTACTGAGATATTGTGACCCTACAGCTCCCTTTGTTGTCTGATGAGCCCCATTAATTTATCTTACCTTCTTCGGGTGCTTCCTTTTTAGGTTGGAACCCAGGAAGCCTTGATTAGTGGTTCTCAAGTTCAGAGCGTTTCTACCATGTCTCTCCCAGAAGCCCAGCGTCTTCTGTCTTTGTTCTTCGCTTTGTGTACAAAGGTATCATTTATTCGGTCATAGCAAACTTGCTTCTGTAGTGCTTGTGATGCTGATGAATTTTTTTTTTTGTTTTGTTGTTGTTTCAGAAACCTAGTCTCCTTCAACTTGTCTTTGATGTTTATGGGCGAGCACCAAAAGCTGTAAAGCAGGTCCACTCTCTTTCACACTTGCTGTTGTTACCTTTTTCATACTTCATAGTTGCTCAGTTTTTATCGGATTTATACTGTATTCATATTCATTCCACTTGTAGAAGTTCAGAATCGGCTGTGCAACAGTTTTCAATTTGTGCCATGGGGGCGGCGGTCCCCTGGACATAGTCCTTTCAGGCGGTGGCCATTTAGTCCATGGACCATTTGATGGTTACATCCAGTTAAAAACTTCTGTGTCGTGGAGTTACTGGTTTCTTTCTGACAAGCCCCGACATGGGCTTCTAGCTTTGGATATGAAACCACAGCAAACCGCTGAGGCTCTCCATGTCAATCTTACCATTCCTATACCGATCCTAAGATATCGAATTTTGTTTGCAACATGTTTTAGTGCCATGTGGAATTGGTGCCTCCTTGGTTGTGTTCCCTACTCCGGCCCATTTCCTGTAGAGATTGGTGTTCATATTTGTTTGAGTTACTATTTTGGTTGTTGCTAGTCTTGTTAGGAGAGTCATAATTGATTGGCATAATTATGTTTTCGCATTTGTTGAATATGCCTAAAAATTAATTGTTGTACAAATTACGTTGCTACTATAAGGCTGCAATTCATGAGATAAATCTGCCATCACATAGGACAGTGTGCCACTTTAGTTTTCTTGATTCTTTTGTAATATAACTGTGAATCTATAACCAATTTTGTTGTGTTTAAGCTTGGCTTTCATGTTTCAGGCTGTTCATCGTCATATACCCATTCTTATAAGGGCTCTAGGACCATCTTATTCCAAATTGCTACAGATAATATCTGATCCACCTGAAGGGTGTGAAAACCTTTTGATGCTGGTACCTTTGAGACCTTCAAACTCTGTATACTTTGATATTCAGTTTCAATTCTCTTATTTTATGCTGATGGGGGCTGTTGTTTTTCTTAGGTGGTCCAAATACTAACTCAGGAGACAACACCTTCCGCTGATTTGATTGCTACTGTCAAACATCTATATGAAACTAAGCTAAAGGTTTTTCAACATTATGGAACTGTAGAAATTACTGGTTCAAATATCGCTACATGCTTGTCTCATGTTTCCCATTGTAATGGTGCAGGATGCCACTATACTTATTCCAATTTTATCATCCCTATCGAAGAGCGAGGTTACTATCTCTCTCTTTCTCCATCTGCGCTAAGAACCTTTGTGCTCATTAAGCTATTTTGATTACATCTATGAAATTGTTTCAGCTATTCCAAAATGTTGGGTCTTTTGATGTGTAGGTTTTCGGAAATCATTTAGATTGTTCGTGTTCATTAAGTCCATTTGATCCCAATCCCGAATATGAAATGTTCTTCAGCTAGTTTAGCATTTTGGTCCTTTGAAAGTGTAGCTTGTTATGAATTCATTTAGGTTGTTTATGTTGTTTAACTTCAAGTAATGATGATTGAGTAATTATTTTAGGTGTTACCTATATTCCCTCGACTTGTTGGCCTTCCCATAGAGAAGTTTCAGATGGCAATAGCTCATATTTTACAGGTATGCTCGATGATTTTGTGCAAAGCTTCACCTTGTGTTGATGGTTTGTTCTTTCTTTTTTTGACAGTCGTGTCTTCCTGTTCTTTGGGTGAGTCTTATGGAACTCTATCGTACTGAAGATACAGCATAGTGGAATATATTAAAATTCAATATGAATAAACTAGTTAGTACTAGTAGAATCTGATGGCTAATGGTTAGTGTTATTGTAGTAATAGTTATTCGTAGATGTGCTATCACAGCTTCTGTAAGATTTAATGATGCAATGGTCATAACTACAATTGATGCAAGGGATTTTCTGAAGTGTAATGAGTAATGAGCATCACACTGCCCCAAATGCTTTTCTCTGCACTATCAAATGTACGAAGTACTGCTACATTTGATTAACTGAACCAAACACTATCATTACCTTTTCTGAGCACGATTCTTTCCTTGTCAGGAAAATTAGGATTGAACCAGGTATCTGATAATTAGTGGCTGTCGATTTCTTTTTCACTTTTCACCTGTAATTTGGAAAATTTTGGGTATTAGCAATCTTGTGGTCTCAAATTCTAGATATGAATGTGGAGTTCCTTCTGGCTAGACAGGATTACAGATAGGGATGGCAACAAAACCCGAACCCACGGGTACCCACCCGACCCAACCCAGTCAACGCCGGTAAAATCCGTGTTGACGGGTTTTGGGCCGGGTTTGGGTTTAAACCCGTTCACTATTCATCGGTTTGGGTTTAGGTAAACCCGACCCATGGGTACCCGCCCGCACCCATATAATTAATTTTCTCGGTATATTTAATATTCTAAACAACTAATCTTATTTATGTTTGTGGAGACATTTCTAATTTTTCTTTCTAATTGTGTAGAACGAATTTGATGTTATCGAGTGGAGAGTGAAGAAACTTAATTGAAAGGAAGAAGTTTTCAATTAATCATGTTATTTATGGATAATTTATGATTTGCTTCAATTTTCTTGAGTTTTCTAGATTGGGATTGAACAATTTGTATAGTTAATTTGTGATTTGCTTGAATTTCTAGAATGGTGTTTTATATATGAATAATTTGTATTGAGAGATTGATATTTGGTTTTAATTTTGATAGAAACTTGTTATTGTAATTTTTTACGACAAAAACCCGTGGGTACCCATGAACCCGCGGATACCCAGCGGGTTGGGTTGGGTTTGAGTTTTTCAAACCCAGTGGGTTTTATCCCGGGTTTTTTTCACGGATAAACCCATGGGTTTGGGTTTAGGTTTGGCAAAACCCGACCCAACCCAACCCATTGCCATCCCTAATTACAGATTACTATTGATTTATAGTTGATCGGTATGAAAGAAAACTGGAAGGATATCCCCATTAGAAGTCAACTGTTAGTTGATCAAGATGAGAAGTGCACCACATTGATCTTTGCCAGGTTTTGTGGTATGTAGTTTGATGAGTGTTTTTCTCCTCTGTCCGTTTACCGTTGAGGTTTGCATTTTCTGCTTCAGGGTTCAGCACATACAGGTCCAGCGTTAAGTCCAGCAGAGGTTTTGGTTGCCATCCATGTTATAAGTCCAGATAAAGATGGCCTTCCACTCAAAAAGGCATGTATTATGTTGGTGATATTTGTGTTAAGAAGTTACTGAATGAAATGCCATCATCCTGTGTTTACAAAAGTTACATAAATTACATAGAAGCTGTTCCATTGTCGTGGGAACTAGTTGATTTGAAAAGCGCTGATAAGAATGGTTTCCTTCGGCTAAATTGTGAAGCATTTTGCTCAGTTGTAGTTGACAGGACTTAAACTTAATTTTTACTATGCAGTCTTCTTTTTTAGGGTAATGTCTATTTTTTATCCAAATCTTTTCCAGATTCTTTTATATTATCCAAATCTATCGAAATACTAAGAATTAACCAAATGTTAACTTTCCGTTAGCAATTTTGTTAGTAATATTGACTTGCCAACATGATAGTGACTTGGAAGAGACATATGAAGGTCAACATTGCAAAATTTTAGTATTTTAACTAAGAAAAGAGTTGCAAAATTATTAACGATAACGTAAAAATAGTTAATATTTTGATGCATTGCGAAAGATTTGGCTAATTAATAGCATTTTAATAGGTTTGAATAATATAAAAGAATTTGAAAAAGATCTAGATAAAAAATAGACATTACCCTCTTTTTTATTTGGCTGAGTTTTGTCCTTGCGAGTAGCTTTTGTCTGATTCTTTATGTATATTCAGATAATGGATGCATGCTCGGCATGTTTTGAACAGAGGACAGTTTTTACTCAGCAAGTCTTGGCCAAGGCTCTGAATCAGATGGTACTATATGTTAGTTTGTCATTCTTCTTTGGAAATTGGTAAAATTTTCGTACTAAAATGGTGCATTTCTCTCAGGTTGATCAAACGCCTTTGCCCTTGCTCTTCGTGCGAACAGTAATCCAGGCAATTGATGCATTTCCTTCGCTGGTAATTAGCCTCTTCTTTCTTTCTTGTTAAACTTTTTGTGATATGATTCAGTACTTCGTAGTTCTGGAAAAAGGGAGTGTAACTCTACGTCCAGATGAGTATCAACCATATATGATTTCTAATAATACCTGTTAATTTCATTAATTTCCCACAGGTTGATTTTGTCATGGAGATACTCTCGAAACTTGTTGGTAGGGAGGTAGGTTGAGCAAAACCGCCACTCTTGTCCTTGCTAATTTTATGCTTCGGAATTGCTGATGGATCATAGTAGCTCTTCTTTCTTTATGATTCTTTGAGTTCAGGTGTGGAAAATGCCAAAATTATGGGTTGGATTCCTGAAATGTGTTTCCCAAACGCTGCCTCACTCTTTCAGCGTATTATTACAGGTGACTTTTCCCATTGCCTTTTGGTTCTCTGTTTCTAAATCGTTGTCAAGTTCTATTTCCTTGATGCGCAAGCCATGTGAATTACCTTAAGAGCTCCCTTGCCTTGCAGCTACCGCCTCCACAACTAGAAAGTGCATTGAACAAATATGCTAATCTTAGAGGCCCCTTGGCTGCTTATGCGTGTCAACCCAGTATAAAAGGTTCGGTACATAGGTACGATCAAACCGGTCTTTGACTTCATCGTTTTTCTTCCAACTATTGGCAGAAAATGTATCAGAATAATGTGAGCTTCTTTTCTGTGGCAGATCAACTTTAGCAGTACTAGGGCTTTCGGATGAAATGCACATACAGCCGTCTCATGTCCAAACTTTGCAATCTTCAAATACTGCTTCAACTCAAGCGGCAGCAAACCTTACGTGACAAACAGAAGGAATTGATTGTTTGGGCCTTCCTGTTGTAGCTACTGCCACGGCAATAGTTTCCCGGTTCCAGCATGGCAAAGATGCTGAGGTGATGGTGGAAATCAACTTTTAGCGAATAGTTGTGCCACCATGAGAAAAGCCTGCGGTGTGACAGCGGTGGAGAGATATAGAAATAGTTTGTATATGTTCAATTTTTGTTCCTTCCAATGTGTTTGGTGAAATTTCGGTGCTTAAGTAATATGCTTCATTAAAAGATAAGACCAGTCTAGGGCCACAGTGCATAGCACAAGCCATTGTTTCTTCGCTGCTTTAGGTTGAGATGGGCTTCTTGTTCCGACCACTTGTAAATGCCTGTGTACCAAAAATGGTGGCAATTATGATCACAATAAAAATGTATTCGTAAAACTAACAAAGCACCGAGAATCCGAATGGAATGAGAATTCGTTCTCGAAGTTAAGCTGTTTCACAGTAAGTTTATCACAATCAATTCTAATGACAATTGAGTAACTGAATTTCCTGCACGAAAACAACTGGCTTGCCTCTCTAAAAAAATTTCACGAAGACATCATTAGTGAATGATACCTATTGTCACAATAGTAAGGATGATGAGAGGATGTTCAACGCACATTGTAACGAGATAGTAAGGATGATGGCGAGGAATCCTAAAGGATGTTCCTTTCGAACTCATCGGGTTTTTGTTGACATATCGATTTATGCTGTCACTTGTGCTTCCTCTTCATCTCTTTTATGTTTCCATTTTGTGTTGGAGAAAAAACTTCATAATTGTTATTATTCCTAATTCTACCCGGACAAGGGAAGGAAAGAACAAGAAACTCTTAGATGTTTGTAATCCTACTGCTAGTTGGAAATGTAGGTATCATTCACTATAAACAAGAGTTTCATTCGAAGTATATCCAAAAATCAATCTATCAGTCTTCTTAGGTCAGATAGGATCATGGATTGAGAGAAAAAATGATAATTTTTAGAAACTGGAAATGTGCTTAAGTTAATAGACCTATCTGACCTATTCCTGAATGCTCATCCCATACAACCCCTGTTTTCTTTTTGTCCATGATCGACCTCTAGGGTTAAGTCTATGTTTGGAATTCTGCATCGCTTCTACACATTCAATATTGCAATCAATATGCAATATATGTGCCAATGACGTTAGGGTTGCGATTATAAAATTATTCTCTTTTATAAAAAAATTAAATAGAATTAATTATTAAACTCTAATTAAAATAATTAAAATATAAAAATAGAAGTATCAAATATCAAAAGAATATTTACGAGAGAGTTTGTGGGTTAGCTAACCATGATGAAAAATTCCTATGATTTTTCAGATATAAGCTTCATTTATGTTTTTAATTTAAAAAGATTAAACAAACTTGTTTAATTAGTGTAACTGGTTATGTTCTTGTCTTTTTTAAAGAGACCACAGATCAAATCCAATCACTGATGTATTTTTTTCCTATAAATTAGAAAATAATAAATGACTATGAAGACGAATCAATCATTCCTACTTTCGGTATTGATGCAAAGATTTTGTAATGGGGGAAGTACCTTTCTCATTTCAATATTATATTAGGTGTAGCGAAAGTAAGTGCGGTGGTTGAGTGTTTAGTGGGCCGGGCAGCTATTTGGGCCCGTTTACAACAAAGATCAATTATATCTTCTACCCAACAAATTAAAACTTCTCTTACTCCCGATTCTCTTATCATGTCTCAACCTAATCGCCCCCACCAAATTGGAAGGAATCCAAAGATGAGATTTTGTGCAAAGCTGGGATTGAAATTTCGAAGGACGGTTCTATCGACCATTATCAATATGGGCCTGAGTTATGGAGGCGAGTTGGAGTCATGTATAATGCTAAAGGATGGGGAATTTCACATAGTGATTGGGCCTTGACTTCTCGATGGGGGTTCATCCGCCAACAATGTGGGTCGTGGAATGCGGCGTTGAGGAGAGCAAGTGTGATACTAAAGAGTGAAGAAAATCTAAGTGATGAGGTTAGTTGAGTTATAATTATTATCATGTGTTTGATTTTTCATTTAATTACGTAGTTTGTACTCATAATTATTACATATGCCTTAATTCTCTAGGTTAAACGAGGGAATGAAATTTTCGTAGCGGACACCTAGAAGACATTCAAGTTGAACCATTGTTGGGACATACTCCACAAAACTCCAAAGTTTATGGAACTATTTACTAGCCCAGTAGCACCCATTCCACCAATGACCGACTCTTCATCGGCAATGCCATCCGGCAAAAGTGTAGTCGTGATGCTCATGGGTCTCCTACTGCGATGACCCATCCGGAAGGTCGAGATAATTACTACAACAAATTTGACCTATTATGAAAAAATTTATTTTTTGTCACTTTTGAGTTGTCAACTTGTCACAATAGGGTATGTAATATGACACAATGCGATGTTGTCCTATTAGGTGTGCCTAATGCGACAACGTTGAGTTTTGTCATTACAGTTTGTCATAGTAGGTGGGAAATACCTTATTTCACAAAAAATGTTGTCAAAATAGGAGTCTCAAATCGGGATGTAAGAGACTGAAAAGTGACAAAGTTAATCATCAAAATAGCGTTCGTCATATTATACCATCATGACGTGTTCAAATGACAAAGCATGTTGTCATAATAGACATTATTATTCCCATGACGAGCCGACAAAATGCAGGTTTGTCATAATATATTGATTTTGCTCTTTATTATGTCAAATTAGGTTATCATAATAACTATTAATATACTTATCGTTTTAGCGAGTGAGAATTTTGTTTTAGCGGGTGAAAATTAGAGTTTGGTGAGGGCCTTTTCTTTGGTGGACGGCTTTTTCAGTGTTGGGGAACTTTTCTTCTCCTTCCCTTTTTGTTCCTTCAGCCTTGAAGAAACCCTAGCCGCCCTCTATCTCTCATTCCCCCCCCCCCCCCCCCCCCCCCCCCCCCCCCCCGAACAAAAAGGAAGAAGGAAAGGAAACCTTCTTCTATTCCATCTCCTCTTCTGCTCGATCCTTCTTCTTCCTTATCTCAACACTCATCGCAGCGTTAAGTGGAGATCGACGATGCAAACAGATACTGGGGTAGAGAATAACGTGGCGCCTTTCCGAGATACTGGGATGCCTTCTCCTTCGTCTCCTCTCGGCTTCATTACCAAAGGGACCCCCACCAACACGGCAGCAGCAGCCAGAATATCAGCGCTATTGAAGGATCTACTCCTCACCCTCCCTATTCGGTCCTTTCTTTGCGAGAGCGTTTCCATGATCTACTTCCCTTGTAAGTTTCTGATTCCTCTATCTCACTCTTCACTGAGCTAGGTTTTCGGAACTTATTTTTCCGGTAGGATTTGTTGGTAAATTTGTTGCTCTCGGAGAATGATTGAAATTGCTGACTTCTGCATCAACAACGACCGCTATCTATTTCTAAATTTTGTTTGTTAAGTATTTATGGTTTGCAGCTGAAAAGGTTGAAAAATGACTACTCTCTGTTGCGGTGAGCATGTGAAATCGTGGGTTAAGTCTCGAGGAATGAGTTCCTTTCTTCAAGTGGTTCTATTCTCTCCTCAGGTAAAGCCATGTAGATGTGTAATCCATTAGGGAATTTGGTTGAAGGTCCTGTAGATAATTATGTATGTTAGAATCTAGCTTATTTAATATCATATAAATTGCAATTGCTCAAGGGAATAATTTGTCATTCTGGAACTAGTTGTCGAATTAATTTATGAGTCTTGTTCTGTTTAAGCACGCTGCTCGGTTACATCCAAACATAAAGCTATTCGGGGGAGTGAGAGAAGATAGTAGCGGCAGAATATGATGGTTCGTTTCCTCTTAAACACGTACACTTTGCTGATCTAGATTCTTACTGTCTCTCTCTCTCTCTGTCACTTTTTGCGATTCCCTATTGTGTGGGTTATTCGAATCCTGATTCTCCTTCCTTTTACTGGGGTCATAGGTTTGGCTATAATTCACAACTCACTTCCTTTACACAAATTGACCACCCATTTAACCAAAACAAGGAAAAGGTTAATATGATTCCTTCCTTGGAAAGAATTCATTTGTTTTCAGAGATCTGCCTCACGTACGATCTGAGAGTTATTGGGGTAGCTAGCCTGCTTGAAATGATTGGTTAATTATTGTGTTAACTGTAGAAGGTGGTGCTAAAATTGGATTTGAATGACGACAAGGAAAAACAGAAGGCACTCATAACGGTGTCAACTTTATCAGGTACGCTGTCCTAATCTCTTACTAAACTTGAACCAACCCATCTCCATATATTTCATTGAAATTCTAAGTTATATAGTTTGTTAATTACATACTTGGTTCGTAATTAATTATTTGGGTTGGAATTTTCTCGTAGATGGGATTGGTTGGTAAAGTAAAGTGATACTTCTCTGATTCCCCCCAATAACTTTCTGTTTGGATTTTATCATGAATCCAATAAAATCCTACAACTGTCCCCTATCACTCACAAACCCATCTAGTCAATTAATTAGATTTTTATGGGTCTTGTACTCTTGTTATGTTTAAGCACACTGTTGTTGGTGACTTGGGAGGAGTTTATTGCTTGGTAGGCTGTTGAGAGAGAAATTCATTGCACGAAAACAACTTGACATACTCAGGTTAAGGTTCTGTGTTTAATTTCACTTCACCTGTGTTCTACAATCCCCCTCTTGGTACTTCTTTCTTATCAAGAAGAAGATGGGACAAGACAACTTGATGGGGTCCCTATTAATTCGCAGTAAATGGTTGAATTTCTAGTATCCATCTCTTTCTTCCTTATTCTTGGTATCATTTTGATTAATTGTTTGTTATGTATAACTCGACATCTCTTATATGAAAATTGGATTCTCAAACAGGGGTGTCATTCTTCCTTTTGTCTTTGTATAAGCTAGTCTAAAATGAAAGCAGACAAGATATTTCCTTCTTCGTTGCTGTTACCGACCTTCTTGGCAAGTTCAGTTCATGATCAATCTTTAGCCAATTGTCCTTAGTATTCAAAATTGGATTCCTATATTGATTTCACCTGAGTGATGGTTAAAACTTATGATGATTTGGATTCCCTGTTGGCTTGCTGTTTTAGTTTTCTTTTCTTCCTTTGGTTTTTTTTAAAATAACAAATGGCTTCCCATCTTGGTTGTAGGAAAAATGGAGCTACCGGCAGACAGCAAAACAGGAGGAACCCGACTTGTTTTTTTGTGTTACGGTGAACTAGGAGTTAGAATGCTTGAAATGGTTATAATATTTTGGATTTTCGGTTAGTACTATGTTGGGATGTTTATCTATTGTAGGTTTCATATTGAATTATGTCATTCTTGTATCAGTTCAGTTATAATGTCAAAGTCAATTTGTCACTTTATAGTACATTACCTAACAAATATTGCTCTTGTCATATTTGACAAGAGGCATATACAACACATTCCACTACAAACTAAACTTGTCATAATATGCAATAATGACAAAATATATTCTTCAAAATCATCAAATCGTGATGAAACCATTGACAATCTATTTCGTCATAAAATCTCTGTTTGTCACAATAGACTAAGTAGAACATGAGCTAAACTGACAAACCAAAGTCCAAATATGACAAAACCACACCCTTATTGTGACAGAACTATTCGTCACTTTGAAGCATTTATATGACATAAGAATATGTCATAATATCATACAACAAATGTGACAACTGTATTTTAAAATTTTGTCACAATTGACCTATCTTGATGGAGATTAAATGACAACACGTTGTGACAACATCATTTGTCATAATAAACCTAATATGACCAAACATAGGTCTAATAGGACAAAAACCTATCATCAAAATAGGCCAAATTTGTTGTAGTGTATAAACAAAAGAAGAAGAAAAGAGGAACTCCATATTCTTTCACAGAAGCTTGTGACAAGAATATGACCAATTTGGCAAATTCTGATTAAAGCTGAATGAACAGTTGATGGCACAACTTATTCTGACCAAAGTGAAAACACAATTGATTGCACAACTCTATATGACAAACATGTGAAGTGTCTGTGGTCAATTTGAAGAAAATATTGTGATTTCGTCATTAATGACATCATATTTAACAATAATTTTTTTATGTCAAAATTAAAATAAATTGTCGAAACCTTCTTCTTAATTAATTATTACTACCTTTATACAAATAATCTACAAACTATCTAATTAAAGTGATGAAATCTACACTAAACTAGATTATCACAAAAAGAGAAGATTTTGACATTTTAGCATTTTGACATTGCTTGTTGGAGCAAAAACAACTTTTGGAGTGCCAAAATGCCAAAACCATTTGACATTTTAGAATTTTGACAATTCCTTATTGGAGATGGTCTAATATTGCGCTAAGAGGACAGAGTTACTTTTATACCCCTCATGAAAACATGGTTGACATCAAAAGGGAGTACGTGGCAAAATGAACAATGAGTGAAGCATATAATATATGTTTCAGATAAAAGTTAAAATTTGATGTAATTTGTTGAATTCAAGTATAAACATTTAGATATTGACATTAAATATTGTATTTTAATATGAATATTTGTTATTTTATTTTGAATGTTATTTTTTATTAAGAAGGCATGAACCGACACAAACTAATTGTACCACTGATCATATCATTACATTTGTTAAACTGACACAACAATATAATTAAACCGGTTTGACAACCTTGCTGCCATTACTTATTTAGATGAAAGGCTGGTGTACAACTGAAGCTGAGGGTTTCGTATCGTATGTTTTGTAGATATGAAATTTGTAGCTATATGCTCTTAAATATATTGGACATTGTTACGATATGACTTGTGTTTGATTTGAGTTTGTTTGGTGTTTTGGGCCTATTTTGTTTGGGTTTGGGATTGGGTTTTGTTTTGACCTTTTCCTTGTATGTTTGGGAAAAAGTATTTGGTTTTGTGTTTGGGATTAGGAGAAGAGTTCTATAAATACTCTTCATCTCCCTAATCCGTAGTAAGGTCAGTCAGGTTAGTTTGTTTGGTTTGTCCGTTTGGAATTTGGTTTGTAACCTGTACTCTCCTCAAATTAGTGAAATTTGTCCCCCCCCCCCCCCCCTGTCCGTGGATTAGCTAGCACACATTGTGTTAGCGAACCACGTCAAATTTGTGTTCGTTCATGTTGGTTTGGATTATTGATTGCACGCTTCTGTTCTGACAAATGGTATCAGAGCCTTTGGTTGTGGTTTTGGGAAATTGGCGCTGGACTGAAGTTTTGCTTTGTGGAGGTAGCTTTCAATTCTTTAGCTTGGTTCGGTGGAGGAATCGCTTTAAAGTTGACTTTGAGTAGTTGTATTTTGGTCTCACTTTTTTGGTGAGAAGTTTGGTTGGAGTTTGTTTGATAGTAAGAATGGCTGCTATCAGTATGAAGATTGAGAAGTTTACCGGAAGAAACAGTTTTAGTTTGTGGCAGATCAAAATGCAAGCACTATTGAAACAACAGGGTTTGTGGGCTCCGTTGTCTGGAAAATCGAAGAAGGAAAGTATAGATGAAGAAGAGTGGATTACTTTGGAGGAGAAAGCTCACTCTACAATCTTGCTTTGTTTGTCTAATGACATCATCACTGAGGTTGCTGTTGAGAAGACTGTTGCGGGCTTGTGGTTGAAGCTTGAAAGTCTATACATGACAAAGTCTTTAACTAACAAGTTGCATATGAAGCCACGTTTGTTCAGTTTGCGTATGGCGGAAGGTACGTCTCTCAGGAATCATCTAGATCAACTCAATACTATCTTGTTAGATCTGCGGAATATTGATGTTAAAGTAGATGATGAGGATGTTGCCTTAATTCTGTTGGTATCTTTGTCACAGTCATATGAGAATTTTGTGGATTCTTTTATTGCTGGGAAAGATAGTTTGTCTTTGGAAGATGTTAGATATGCTCTACATACTAGGGAGGTTCGACATAAGGCGTTTGGTTCTGGTTCGGAAAATCAGGCATCTGGGTTGGCTGCTATGAGTAGTAGGAGACAACAATCTGGTAATAGGAAGGCGAATGTAAATTCGTCTGTTGGTTTGAAGGATGATATCTGTCATTACTGTAAGGAGAAAGGACATTGGAAATTCGATTGTCCTAAACTAAAGAAATATCAGGAGAAGAAGGAATCATCTGCTGCTGTGGCGGAAGAAACTAACTCTGATTCTGAAGATGGTTTAGCCTTAGCAGTGAACGAACAGGTACATCATCAGGATATGTGGTATTTAAATACTGCAGCTGATTATCATATGTGTCCAAGCAGAGAGTGTTTTTCAACTTATGAGCAGATAGATGGAGGACATGTTTCTATGGCCAATGGTGCTATCTGTAAGATTGTTGGAAGAGGCTCCGTCAGGATGAGGACATATGAGGACACATGTTTCTGTTTGGGATTTGGAGAAGAGTTCTATATATACTCTTCATCTCCCTAATCCGTAGTAAGGTCAGTCAGGTTAGTTTGTTTGGTTTGTCCATTTGGAATTTGGTTTGTAACCTGTACTCTCCTCAAATTAGTGAAATTTGTCCCCCCCCCCTGTCCGTGGATTAGCTAGCACACAATGTGTTAGTGAACCACGTTAAATTTGTGTTCGTTCATGTTGGTTTGGATTATCCATTGCACGCTTCTATTCTGACATACATGATTAAATTGTTAGCAACCCATAGTTAAGTGATAGTAGGTTACTTTTGCTGGGAAAAAACCCAATATACACTAGTAATTAAAAAAAATTCCCAAAATACATAAGTTATAAAAAAATTCCCAATTTACGCATGTTTCACATTCACCACCTTTGTCTAAGGCATTAAACAAACACGGTGAATAAATCACCGCGTTCAACAAAAATGGTGAATAAATCACCGTATTAGTTTACAGCGGTGATTTATTCACCGTGTTTGACTTAAACGATGAAGCAATCATCATTTTCGAGCAAAGCGGGGAATACCTTCACCGCTCTAGGTTACAACGGTGATAGTTTTCCACTTTTCCCACCCCTGGTAGGTGAAAATTAGGTCACAACCACCTAATGTTCACCGCCTTAGGGCAACGCGGTGATCACCTTCACCACCGTGGACAAAGGCAGTGAATGCTCCATGGTTTTCATATAAATATCCCTCCCACAAGCGGTTGGAAAAACACTCTCCCCCTCCCTCTTCAAATTTAAGCAAAAAAAACCCCAGCAACATACACAGAAGCAATTTTTCGGTATGATTTAATTTTGGATTGTTTATATAATGATGTTTTTAATAGTTATATGTATGTAAAGAATTACTTAACGTAGAAAATATGTTATGTTAGTTGGGAATTTATGTTGTTGTTAGTTAGTTGAATTTATGTTATGTTATGTTAGTTATGAGATGAAGTAATATTAGTCGTACAATACGGTTTTGGTTAATTTTATTGGAATTAAGCTAATAGTTACTTATTGTAAATTGTAGATATGGGTAAATTCAAGAAGTTTCAGCTTATTATTCGGTGGAATGGAAGGGTGACAAACTCTGACATTGGGATTGATTATGAGGACGGTGAATCCACTATGTTGAAAATTGAGTCGTGATTCACGTGACAAGAACTCCGTGACATTTGTGCAGACAGGGTTTGTACGAGCGTACATACGAGATTTGGTAAAATTACTTACCGGTATCCAGACATGAGTGCTGGGGGGGGGGGGGGGGTGTACAAAGAATTTGTCATAAACGATGATGACGCGGTTACAATGATGTTACAATTCCTAGGCAATAACGGGATGCGGCTTGCAGAGGTCTATGTTGAGACCGAGGCGCTCGGTGAAACTCATTCTGACCAGTATTCTTATGATGATGGTTTTGCAGGAGGGTACGGATAGGGTGGTAGTTCAAGAAACTAAGAAGGAGGAGGTTATACAGGAGGTTACATATTTGGTTGTAGTTCAAGCAACTACGGAGGAGGTAGTGGTGCAGGATGGGTGCCATTGGAAGAATACCTGCAACGGGATGAACCTGCCCCATTTGTTGAGGCCAGTGAGGTTCAATGGCCTGCTTGGGGGCCAGAGTGAGCTGAAATCGAGAATACCATTCGATCTGGCGTACTTCACATGAGCGAGAAGACGATATTGGTGATGGTGGTCATGTTGATCCTTCTGGCCCGAGCTATCCATTCGACTCGAGCGACTATGATACTGAGGAAAGATTTGAGATCAGTGAGCGAGGAGGAAGATATTGACGATACCGACGACGATGTGGCATTTCGTGAGCCACCAACGCCATACTACACACAGGTTCCAACTCGATTTTTACATAGTCAGAATGATGCCTCCGACGTTGTCTCGATACCAGTGTATAATCCGACGCCCAATTTGGAGGTGGGTATGACGTTCACATCGAAAAACGATGTGCATGATGCTTTTAACGAAGATGCCATGCGGAGCAGTTTCGAGTGGAAGGTAAAATATTCTGACAGTAAACAACTACATGTCATATGCAAGAATGCTGCAGAGGGATGTATGTGGAAACTACGGGCTGCAAATATGAAGAGAAAGGGTGCCTAATTGATTCAAAAAGTTGAGAACAACCACAATTGCTCCTCGTCCGTACTTTCCCAGGATCACCGACAACTTAAAGCAAAGGAGCATTGGCAACCATATGCCTTGAATCCACCAGTTTGACTTGTCGGGGAACAGAAATCCACCAACGAAACCAATGAGTTAGATGCGTGCATAGCGCTCCACTTGATCTTCCGGAGTGTCTAGGCCGATTTGAACCTCATTTTGGATGTGAGTAACGAGCACGGGATCGACACTTGTCCCGCATTCAATGGTGGATGATCCTGTCCTTGAATTGGTGTGGTGGTCGGCATGTCAAAGCCCAAACGATCACGAATGAGTGGCCCCCAACCTGCTTCGGTTTCCCTATGACACCAGTGATGGCATCTCCAGCTATCGGCAACCCGATGAGGATTGTGACGTCATTGAGTGTGATCGTCATTTCCCCGTCCGAAGGTGGAACGTATGGGTTTAGGGGCGCCATCGCTTTGCCATTTCCGTAAGCAGATCATTGTCGATTTCAATCCGCATGAAATGCCTCAACATACCCAACCCAGTCCTATCTATATACGGCGACAGCCGATCATGCCAAACGGGCAAGTTAGTGGTCCCTTTATCAATGATGGGAATAAGTGATTCCTACAAAAAAAAAATAGAAAAAACATCAATTTGTTAGTTAAAAGAAAGCAAAATAAAACCTTATAAAAAAGTAAATCGTTGATAAGGTACGTAATGTTTAGCGGCCCCCAACCTGCTTTGGGTTTCCTTGTGCCACCAGTGATGGCATCTCCAGTTATCGGCAACCCGGTGAGGATTGCGACGTCATTGAGGGTGATCGTCATTTCCCCGTCCGGAAGGTGGAACGTATGGTTTTCGGGGCGCCATCGCTTTGCCATTGCCGTAAGCAGATCGTTGTCGATTTCAATCCGCTTGAAATGCCTCAACATACCCAACCCAGTCCTCTCTATATACGACGACAGTCGATCATGCCAAGCGGGCAAGTTAGTGGTCCCTTTATCAATGACGGGAATAAGTGATTCCTACAAAAAAAATAGAAAAAACATCAATTTGTTAGTTAAAAGAAAGCAAAATAAAACCTTATAAAATAATGAAATAAAGTAAATTGTTGATAAGGTACGTAGTGTTTAGCGGCCCCCAACCTGCTTCAGGTTTTCCTATGACACCAGTGATGGCATCTCCAGTTATCGCCAACCCGGTGAGGATTGCGACGTCATTGAGGGTGATCGTCATTTCCCCCTCCGGAAGATGGAACGTATGGGTTTCGGGGCGCCATCGCTCTGCCATTGCCGTAAGCAGATCGTTGTCGATTTCAATCCGCATGAAATGCCTCAGCATACCCAACCCAGTCCTCTCTATATACGACGATAGTAGATCATGCCAAGCGGGAAAGTTAGTGGTCCCTTTATGAATGATGGGAATAAGTGATTCCTACAAAAAAATAGAAAAAACATCGATTTGTTAGTTAAAAGAAAGCAAAATAAAACCTTATAAAATAATGAAATAAAGTAAATTGTTGATAAGGTACGTAGTGTTTACCGGATTGTTGTCCCAAATTGCACGGGAGCAATGTGCTTCTTGATAGGATAAATACTTCGTATCTCTTGGCCCATAATGGATATACCATCGAGGATCGCATATCTCGGCACCCATCTATAAAAAAAAGTAATGAATTCAGATTGTTTTGATTGAAAAAAATCACAAAATCAAATTGTTTCGATTAATAAAAATCACAAAAGAAAAACCACGAACCTACCCGAAGAGCCTCTTCGTCCATTTTTTGGCGAAAGCCAGACAGGTTCGACGGGTTTTTAAGGGACGGGCTTTAGGGTATAACTCTAGTAATTCTTTTTGATGTGGAAGATCAGACTTAGCCGCAACCACAGAGCATACTTAGAACGAGACTAGAGTGGATGAATGGAGGGAGAAATAAGTGTAATGTCGTGGTGTGATTTTGAAGAGAGGGGGAAGGGTTCTATTTATAGGGGGAAGGGAACTGGGGAAAATCACACGAGACCCATCACCACCTTTGACAAAGGCAGTGAATAACTCGCCTTTTTCGAATGCGGTGAAAGACGAAGTTCGTTGACGTGGGAGGCTGTGAGCGTCGGATCTGGGAGGAAAACCAAAATCCACGCCTGACTGCATCCAACGGCAGCGGTGAAGCATACGCTCGACACGAATCGCTGACATGGACAAACGCGTGGTATTCACCGTGTTTGTCTAACGCGGTGAATTCCCCCCGTTTGTCCACGTCAGCGATCCGCGTCGCTTTTACCGTAAACGTCCGATGCGGGGACTTCACCGTTTTAATTAAAAGCGGTGATTGGTTTCCTGCACTTTCACCGTTTTACTTTGGTGCGGTGAAGTCTTCACCGTTTTTCTCAGCTGCGATGAATCCTTCACCGATTTATTAAAATACGGTGATTTATTCACTGTATTTGTTTAATACGGTGATTGCATTCACTGTCTTAGACAAAGACGGTGAATCTAAAACATGTATAGATTGAGAATTTTTTTTATAATTTATGTATTTTGACAATTTCTTTTAATTACTAGTGTATTTTGTGATTCACCGTGTCTGCTACTCCGGCCGCGTACAAACTACAAATGCAATTATGCAAGTACGCAACCCGCTAGATTCTGCAACTGCCCATAAAATTTGTCAACTTAGGGTTTAGGGTTGCCCAAAAATTGGAACTCTGTTATCATGGAGGGATGGGATCCGAATACGAAATCGACTCTAACACAGATCCCGTTGCTAGCAACGAAAGCGGGACCAAGAGATGGAGCGGCATGGACGCAGAGGCTAAAGGAGGAATACAAGGCTCTGATCACCTATACCCAGATGAACAAGTCCAAAGACAACGATTGGTTTCGCATCTCCGCCGCCAATCCCGAGGGCACGCGGTGGACTGGCAAGTGCTGGTATGTTCACAACCTTCTCAAGTACGAATTTGATCTTCAGTTCGATATCCCGGTTACGTATCCCTCCACTGCCCCCGAGCTCGAGCTTCCGCAGCTTGATGGCAAGACCCAGAAGGTAAAAACTCAAATATTTTGTTTGGGTGTCGATTGTTTTCCACCCTTTTTGTTGGGTAATCGGCCTCTGAATCGTGGGTGGATTGGTGTTCTGTAGATGTATCGAGGAGGGAAGATTTGTCTGACCATTCATTTTAAGCCACTATGGGCAAAGAATAGGTATGCTGCTGTGAATTTTGGTTTCATAATGTTGAATGGACCCAATTGTTCTCGTTCTTCTTGAGTTTGATCAATTACATTTTTTTCGGTAATTCAATTCCAATTTTCAGAATTGGGTTGCTAATTTTTTTTACAAGGCAGAATTGAGTTGCTCTTATAAGAAATGGAAATGCAATCGGAATGTAGAATAGTGGAAAGACAGAAGTAAAGGCTAAGAGCTATTAGTATTGAATTTCAGGTCGTAGTGCTAGTTTTTTTCAGAGTGGCATTGTAAGAAATGGAAATGCAATCGGAATGTAGAATCGTGGAAACACAGAAATAAGTGTAGGAGCTATTAGTATTGAATTGCAGGTCACTATGCTAGTTCTTCCAGGTTGAATCAATAGAATAGGTTGGCTTGAAGTGGCTTCCACTATCAATTTGGACTCTGATTTACTTGGGAGTTGATGTAAGAAATGGAAATGCAATCGGAATGTTGAATCGTGGAAACACAGAAATAAGTGTAGGAGCTATTTGTTGCAGGTCGCTATGCTAGTTCTTCCAGGTAGAATCAATAGAATAGGTTGGCCTGAAGTGGCTTCCACTATCAATTTGGACTCTGATTTACTTGGGAGTTGATTGTAGTGTATCTGATTGTTTGCCTTGCAGATTCTGCTTCTAGTATGCTAATTCTGGTTTGTTATATATGTTATGGAGTTGTTTATTGTAAGGAACTTCCTTTCAGGTGACAGGGCATTTATTTGAATGATACGACTTCAAAAAATTTATAGATCAGAATGAAATATATCTGGTTGTGATTCAGATTTGAAATGCCTCCTTACCAGAGCAAAGAAAGATCAATACTCTGAATATAGAGAGATCAAGGCTGTGAATATAGAAGCAATCTCACTCCATATAAAAAGCTTAGCCTATAGTTTGAGTTCACTAGTTGTCATAGGGTCGAATGCCTTGTAGTCAGTTCTATTTAGCTATCTGCAGAGTTTGACATTATCCTGATATTTGTAGTGACTCTTATGTAAGACAGGAAGCCTGAGACCCAGATTTTAGAGCTTGATTCACTGCATAAACAACTAACTAAATCTTTGTGCTTTTTGTCAACTTTTTTCAGTCCCCGGTTTGGGATCGCACATGCACTGTGCTTGGGACTTGCTCCATGGCTGGCAGCTGAAGTTCCCATTCTGGTGGATTCTGGGATGATCAAGCACAAAGATGACGCAACGTCATCAAGTGAGTCTTAATTTAGCACAGTTGGCAATGCTGCTGTAAAAGGAATGTCATCAGACATCGTCTGTCTTAACTACAGAAATAAAGATTGAGAGGATGTTCTCAATTTGTTCCGAACATCAAGTGTACAATTCTGTGGAGCTCACAAATGTATACAGTTTGAACGTGGAAATGCAGATAAAATCATAGGAACTTGTTTGGCTCTGATGGTTGCTTGAATTTCCAGATTACACTCCTTTTTCTTTAAAAATTTGCTTGGCTCTTATAGCTCCTAACTGTTGCACCGTACTCTTTCATCGTGATTTATAACCGATTTCAAGGGGCACCAAAATTTAGGGCTAAGTAAGACTTTTGGCTCTGCATCAGTGTTGATATCATTACTTAACTCTGTCCTTTTCCATTTTGTTCTCTTTATGACAACTATATACTGATTGTTCTCATTGTTGGGGTATGACTAAAAAGAGAAATCCAAATCCAGGCCCAATAAAGGATTGGGTGCCCGGATGGTGTCCAGGGCAGGATAGAGCCGGGTAGGGAAGCCCATCAGGCCAAGTCCAAGCGGGAGTGAGGAGAGGCTCTGACACATTCCTAGGAGCTACAGGTTGGCAGTGGTCTCGGGAAGGAGAGTTGGTCGGGGCGCCTAGCCTAAACAAAGTACAAGGCATTTAATGACGTGCTGACGTGGAGCTATGATCTCAGGGTGTGTAAGTATAAATAGTCGGTAGGTGACATTTAAGGGGGGCGGATTCTCTCTCAAGAAACTGGGGCATAACACTTCTCTCTCTAAAAGTGTTTACTAACTTGAGCGTCGAAAGATTAACGGGCCAGGTGCCCACCTCTGTGTGCACTGTGTGTAGGTGAGGCGCTCAAGAGCAAGGCAAAGGTAATGTGGGACGGGCGTTGGAGTGTTTAGTCTCAAACAATTGGCGCGACAGGAACGGGAAGAAGCCGGTATGTAAATGGAGGCGCCTAAAATAGAGGAGGAGGAGCAGGTTACGTAAGACCAGTCCCATGGGGCGAGCGAGCGTACGCTTGATGTAACCGAGGGTCAGGGGAGCGAGACAAGGCATTTCTATTCGTAGGGCGCCTCGTTGACCAAGAAAGATTTGTTTAAGATCATTGAAGACCAAGTTGCAGCCATTAAGATTCTCAGGCGAGAGGTGGAGGCGTTGAAGAAAGGAGATTGAGGGGTTTCCAGCCCTATGACAAGAAAAAGAGAAAGGACCGCAGAACTAGAGGAGGTCGACCAGCCTAGGCGCCCTATGGCAGCATGGCGCCTAAACGACCATGCGAGTTCAGACATCGGCTTGCGAAGCGGGTGGGCGCTTAAGCGTTTGAATCGGCACTTTGTGGTAAGGCAACCTTTGACGAGGAGCGTGCTAGTGAGCCCGCGAGCACCAATCTTCCACCGCTGCCCAACTACGATGGTACAACCGACCCAGATGACCACCTCAATGGCTACTTTACAAAGATGCAATTGTACAACAGTTCGTATGCTACCTTGTATAAGGTGTTCCCGTCGACCTTTGTGGGGATAGTGCTTGACTAGTATCACCAGATCGAGGATGGGCGCATTAAGTGCTTTGAGCAATTCGCGGCGATGTTCTTATCCAAGTTTGCCTGTTGTAAGCATCGTACCCTGACCATAGGCGCCTTGTTCAAAACCAAGTAAAAAGATGGAGAGTCACTTAGAGAGATGGAGAGTCACTTAGAGAGTTCTACGAGAGGTGGATTTATGTTGCTATGGCGGTGAAGGATGTGTAGCCGGCGGTGTTTGGGTGTTGCTTGGAAGATTGCGCTACGAGTGAGGAGCTATGCCGAACGTTGGTCAAACGAGACGTGGAGTCCACAGACGACTTAGACCGCCGAGTTCAACAGGTGATAATGTTAGAGGAGACGTTAAGGTCTATGAGGACATACAGGCGCCGCGCAAAGGGTGAAGAGGTGGAGGCTTTGCGAAGACCCGTACCGGCATCTAGACTGATGTATCAGAGTGTCGCTCCGCACTGGGCACCAGCGAAGCGAATGGATCCCGGGCGCCCGTCATCTCGGGGAACCGACCCGTTTATGGAGTTAAATGATACGCTCAATAATGTGCTCCAGCATGTGAGGGAGAAGGGTTATCATGTGTGATGGCCCGGCCCGATGAGGGGCCAACCTAATGAGCGAAACCTGGACCGATATTGCGACTTTCTCGAGAAAGGGGGCACCATACTGCCGACTGCTATCAGCTGAAAACGAAGTTGCAAGGATTGGCGGACCGAGGGATGCTCAACGACTTCGTCAAGAAGCCCGAAGAAAGGGTGCATAGAACTTACGTAGCAAGGGCGGAGAAGAAAGTGGTTGAACTCCCCACCTCCATTTGACCTGGATCAAAGTGAGGCGCCTGAGCGAATTCAGCTCACCGTGGACTCCATTTACGGGGACAATTGATTTACGAGAGAACTTGGAGATAAGCAGGCCCCTGCGAACCGCCTCGGTGGATGCATGGGAGGCAATCCACATCACGTTCAATCAGACACTGGACGAAGCGTGTAGGCTCCCTTCTCTTGAGGCATTGGAAATAAAGGGCGTAGTTGCAGGATGCAAAGTCAAGAGGATGTTGGTAGATACTGGGAGCTCCATGGATGTATTGTTCAATGACACAGTAGCGCGCGTGCAGTTGTCACTTGATTTGATTCGACCGTCTGAATCGGTCCTGATCGAATTTTCAGGGGCGCCCGCACGAGTGATCGGACGCATACGCCTATCTGTGACCCTAGGGGACGAGGAGAAAAGAGTCACCCACACAATAGACTTCGAGATTGTGGATTTCCCCTCCCCATATAATGCGATCCTGGGTCGACCGCTCTTGGCGTTGTTCAACGGGGTGCCCTCTACGTACCATCAGACCTTGAAGTTCATCGCTCCCAAAGGAGTAGGCGTATCACGCGAAAGGAACGCCCCGCACTACGCTAGGGAGGAGAAACCCAAATGCCCACACCAGGAGAAAAGAATGGATGCGATAACAGAAGTCCCCGAGGAGGCGCCTCGTGCGGAAGCAACCGATGAAGTGATCTTGGTCCCCATTGAGGAGGGGCGGCCCGAACGACATGTAAGGGTATCGGCGCAGGTGCCTATGGAAATAGTGGAGCCGTTGATTGCTCTCCTACGAGAGTTTGGCGAGCTCTTCGCATGGAGCGTAGAAGAAATGCTGGATGTGGCGCTCGAGAAGGCTGTCCACAGGTTGGCGGTGGAGAAGGGAAAGAAGCCAGTCCAACAGAAGCAGTGCTATGGGTGGAGGTTAAAAAGCTCCTCGGGGCAAACCTTGTAAACGAGGCCAAGTATGTCACATGGTTATCCAATGTTGTGTTTGTGCCAACGTAGTTGGGAGATTGGAGGATGTGTGTGGATTTCACTAGCCTCAACAAAGCATGGTCAACTGACTCGTACCGCATGCCTCACATAGATCAGTTGGTAGACGCCACTGCTTACCATGAGATGCTAAGCTTTGTGGACATGTTCTTTGGATACCACCAGATTCCCATGGCGGAAGAGGACCAGGCCAAAACCGCCTTCATGACCTTTGGACTGAAGAATGCGGGCATCACCTACACACGCATGGTCAACAATGTTTTCCGTGAGTAAATTGGGCGGAACGTGGAGGCCTATGTGGATAATCTGATCGTGAAGAGTAGGCGAAAGGGAGACCACCTGAGTGATTTGCGCAAAACGTTCGTGACCTTGAGAAGGCACCGACTTCGCCTCAACCCGATTAAGTGTGTGTTTGGTTCTGAGGCGGGAAAATTCTTGGACTTCCTGATAACGAAGCGAGGCATCGAGGCCAACCCAAAGCAAGTAGACACAATAATCAAGTTGGCACCATCGAGAACGCCCAAGGACGTGAAAGGTTTGGCTGGACGGCTAGCGGCGTTAGGACGCTTCATCCCAAAGTCACCTGACAATCGCGTGGTAGCTGCAGGCTACGTTTCAAATCTTTCACCAGCGATAAGCGGATGACGGACCGATGCTTAGGCCATGCCACATTAAAGGGGATCTCTGAAGTATCCTCAGGTGCATAGTCCGGCGAGAAGGTCTTCTCCCACGTAGTAATCTTGTCAGACCCATCCGTGCGCATGAAACCAGGCGCGAGGCGACAGGCGTTGCTGATCGGGGCGTTCTCTATAGAGCAAAAATCGAAGAGGGTGCCCTCACCTTAACTAACTTTGAAAATAGATAGGGATCGAAAGTTAATGAAGAGGTGGTGTAGGGTGCTTACTAGGGTTGCGTTGGGAGCCTTGCGCCGGAGCCAAGCCGACGTTGGGAGCTTGATCTCGTGGGTTAGACATGGTGGCGGGTGCCGTCGGACGAAGGTGTGGTCTGCGAGGGCTGGCGGCGGGTAGAGAGAAGGTAGAGCAAAATTCTCATTTTGAGGAAAGTGAGGCAAATGAGAGAGGGAAAGAACCATTTACAGGAGCAAGGGATGCGCGCCTTGAGTTTCGTGTAAAGAGTGAGGGGGCGCATCTCAAAAACCGTGCCAACGACCATGTGTCACAATTTGGGCCCCACATTCAAAATTCAAAATTTTGAGGGGGGCGTGTGGATATCACAGCAAGGCGCCTGGTCTGGAATTAAAATAAATGGGTGGGAGATGTGTAGTTTATGAACTCCAAACATCGAGGCGCCTAAACCAATGGAGCGGAATGTGGAGGCATCCGCAGGGCATTCATTGAATGTAGCTCCAAACGTCGACACACGCAGCCCGATGAAGACCGAGTGAAGGTGTTGTCAAGGACGAGGCGCCCACTATGAAAAAGGGGAAACGTAGATGACGTACCCAGGAGAAAGGCGCACTGAACGTTGATGGCTGAGTCATCGACCAGTCATAGAGGAGATACGTGTGAAAGCGCCAACAACAGGGAAGTGGGGGACAATCAACAGGCGCCCTGATCAACAACTTGGGCGCCTATAATGGGAAGAGGAGTGCTATACAGTTGGGTGCCTTGAGCTTATCTCCCAAGGATCATAGTGGTAGTAAGAAAAGAGTGCATTCTAGGGGCATCCTGATTGGAGAGATGGACATCACAAGATATAGTTAGGCACTCAAAAAGATCCTTGAGCGCCTAACTAGGGGGGGGGGCAATTGTTGGGGGTATGACTAGAAAGAGAAACCCAAACCCAGGCCCAATAAAGGATTGGGGGCCCGGAAGGTGTTCAGGGCAGGATAGAGCCGGGTAGGGAAGCCCATGAGGCCAAAGCCCAAGCGGGAGTGAGGAGAGGCTCTAACACATTCCAAGGAGGTACAAGTTGGCAGTGGTTCCAGGAAGGAGGCGCCTATAACTTGTCAGAAGACTGACAAGTTGGTCAGTGCGCCTAGCCTAAACAAAGTACAAGGCATTTAATGACGTGGTGACGTGGAGCTAAGAGAGAGGAGCATGATCCCAGGGTGTGTAAGTATAAATAGTGTCGGGAGGTAACATTTAAGGGGGACGGATTCTCTCTCAAGAAACTGGGGCATAGCACTTCTTCCTCTAAAAGTGTTTACTAACTTGAGCGTCGGAGGATTAATGGCCAGGTGCCCACCTCTGTGTGCACTGTGCGTAGGTGAGGCGCTCAAGAGCAAGGCAAAGGTGACGCGGCACGGGCGTTGGAGTGTTTAGTCTCAAACACTCATCATCTACCATTGTATATTGATTGAAGAAGCCATCTCTGTTTTGGTTTTGTACTTGCCGAAATTCCCACAAATGTTGTACAAGTGGACCAAATTAAGGTATGGATTTCATGAATTTTATAAAAATTGAAGAAAATTAGACCAAATTAATATTTGGTCAGCTTAAGTACAATGATGATCTATTCCTTGATGTTAAGATTTTTTTTACTATTAGACCGCGATTCTCTTGATCAAATCCAAATGTTGCACACCTATCGACTAGTTCCTTTGTTTGGCATAACAGTCAACCACACGTAGAGGTGAAAATCCATCAATCCAATCCATCCACTAAAATGTCCAACTATCTAATCCATTTAAATCCAATCTATTTGATCCAAATCCAATTGGATTGGTGGATTCATGGATTGCAATGTTGTCAGAACCAAACCAGAGCATGACCCGATAACGTGAACGACTCTCACTTTAGTGGTCCAACCGTTATTGGGCCGTTAAAAAACTGTTAGAGAACCGGTACCTTATAAACAATAATATCACAAATAAAATACAAGTAAAGTAATAATTTAACAATGTAATGACTAAAATGAAAATGTACTTTGTAGGTACCAATTATTAATTTTACATTAATATATATATATAGTGACGTCTTCGGTGCACTCACTTTTTTGGGTGCATTTAGTGCACCCGCTTCATAACCGTCATTATAAACATGCGATTTATGTCAAAATGATGTCAATCATCACTTATGATGTGATGAACAATAACGCACATGAATTTGCACGAAAACAATTGAAGAATTACTTTAATTTGAAGGATTTAGAGTTTAGAGATTTAGGGTTAGGGTTTACAATTTGGGGTTTAGGGATAGAACTCAATATTAGAGGTCTAGGGCTTAGGGTAATCCGCTAATTAGTTGTTATCATATGTTATGTCATCATATTACACTAATTCTACAAATTAAAATTCAAAATCAGACACCTTAAGCGTAGTTTTTTAGTTGGGTGCATTGAACACACTCATTTTGTGAGTGCACCGAAGTAGTCACCATATATATATATATATATATATATATATGGTGGCTTCTATGGTACCCCGGGTGAAATCCGGGGTACCGCATATCTCGAGTATGTAAACACTATCTAGACCTCGAATTACCAGGATTTTTGTGTATGATATTATACCCTAACCCTTAATGAGTGAACCCTAGGTCATAATTATCTAAATCATAATCTATAAACCCTAAGATGGTGCATTCCTTTTTGTGCCTATATTTGGATGAATCATAACCGTCGGTTATTATTTCTAATTAAATTGATCTTGGAGTATAAGATTGGGAGAGTTAACACCTAGATTTTGATCTTTAAGTGTTAGAGTATAGTATCATGTCCGAAAGATCGGCCAATTCAAGGTCTAGATAGTGTTTTCATACTCAAGGTATGCGGTACCCCGAATTTCACCCAGGGTACCGTAGAACTCGCCATATATATATATATATCAATTAAAAACCCTACCAAGTTGCCGCCCCCTTCTTCCCATTCTCCAATTCAAAGAGTAGTTGCTGCCCTCTTCTTCCCGTTTTCGAATCTCAATCCTCTGTACCAAAACCACCATGGCTGAGAAGAAAAAGGAGAAGCTGCTCGCCCATACTACTCTATCACCCAAACAAATCAATGCCCTCCTCCTCATACTACTTCAATCCGAGGTCAGAAGTGAAGGGGCTCCACTTCGGCGGCCAAATCCTTCATAGTGGACAATAAGAACCCAAAAAAGACCTGTTTACGACCACCATCGCGCTCCTCCCTTCTCACGAGTTCGACCACCTGACCCTTCTTCTTCTTTTTTACCCGTTGGACACAAAGAGCACCGACCCCAAATAAAGGGGATTGCTAATTGTCGCCTTGATCGCCCTAACTTAAAAAACTAAGATTACAATTTATCCTCCTTTATTTTTTCTTCCAATATATTTTATTCCAACAAACAAAATAAAAAAGGAAAAAATTGACATCCGCATCAAAACGCCACCGCCGCTGCCCTGCCATGACCTATCCCTTCCTCTAGTATCATCTTTGTTCAACAAAACTTACATTTTTAAGTGTGTTAATTTAACAAGACAATTTTTTATGGTGGCGGGAGTGTAGGCGGTAGGGACAGATGCAGAGTCGAGAAACACACAGTCAGGGAGAAGTGCGTAGCGATGGCAAGGAGAATAACTAAGGTAGTGCCAACGGCAAATCAGGGAAATAAGCATTGAAGACAATGGAGAGAAGCGGCGGCGGAAGGTATTTGGAGAGAGGGGTTCGGTGGCGTTGAGAGGATGAAGGATTTAGGGCGGTTTGTTTTATTGAATTTGGTTTAATTAATGAAGGATAATTTGGTAGTTTTACATTATAAGTTAGGGGGATAGTAGTAAAACTAGGACAATGTTTAGCAGTACAGAAAATAAAAAACCTGACCCTTTTTCTGTTTCGTAACCCGATTGGGATTTTGATTTTTTTATTTCCTATTTTTTGTATAATTAATCATAACGGACGAAATGGAGAAACCGGACGAGTGGCTCGAGCGGTTAACAGTCTAGACCGCTCCAAAAACCGCTTCAAAAACCGCTCTGAATTTTTGACTGTGTCGAGCCGGTTTGGTGACTAGGTGCCGGTTTTCCCAATCGGACCAACCGGCTCGGCTCGATTTTAATAACACTAATGGATTGATCCATGGATTCAAATGACAAATTACTATATAGTACCTATACTTTTTATATTTGAATTTTGGTTCCCAAAATTAAATTTTAAATGGAGAATATCATTTATAAACTATGCTTGGTACCTGAATTTTTTTATCATGACATTTTAGTACACAAACTTTCCAAAAGTTACATATTGGTTCAAAATTTGGATATCATTTGAAATTTGGATTCATGGATCAACCCACACCATCAAGCTCAAACCCTGGCCTTCGGTATCCAGTACATAAATCATTGAATACAATCCACTTTATTCATGGATACACCAATCCAATCCACCAATTCATAGATCCAATCCATTTGCTCCCTATAGCCAAACTTTTCGGTGGGGAATTGGTTCTTTTGTTAAACCAAAATTCACCGATTTTTGTTCACAATTGAACTACTTGGTTTTGGTACTGTTTTCGGCCTTTCGAGCCTTCTTTGATCCCTTTTCTCAAACCGTCGGTAACGGGACGTGTTCAGTAACCAAATACCTTCCAGCCTTCACCCATAGCCATAGGAAATCGACCTAGCTTACAACATAATCTGAGAAAGCGGTAAACCATTGATGAAATCACATTACGCAAATCTTGTTGAAGCCTAAAGGGCTCCCCATTGTTGCAAACGTTACCCGAAATTACTATCTATCTGAATATAATGAACTTTGATCGACTTATTAAGCACGTTCTACAATTACAATGGTCACAGGTAAAAAAAAAAACCATATAGGGGAGGACTAGAGAATGACCATGTAATAAGCTATAGCTCATATGACAACTGGTAAATAAATACTGAAAACATCAATGTTTCACCAGAACAAAAGTCCATATCAATTCAGATATCCGAACTTAAATTCTCCTCCGTCCTCCGTTATTTCCATCTTCTCCGAAACCCGATTCGATCAGAAAACAGGACCAGCAGCAAGAATCTGCACTGTGAGCTTCCCATCCTTCCCTATCTTATGATTAGCAAACACCTCAAAGTTCTTCTTGAACAGACCTCCCAACTTCAGCAGCGTCTCATTGTAAGCCTTCTTGTCCGACCACTGCAACACCCCCAAAACCGAAAATATCCAACATCTCAGTCTGCGGTTGTACTAAGGTAAAAAGAAGAAGAGGCACCGCACCAATCAAAACACTCACAGTGTTGGCAGGTTGAAGGATTTCAGAAGGAACACCCTCGATGGCAGTCGGGATCTCAAGGCCGAAGATCTCGGTCTTACTATAATTCGCCTCGAGAAGTTCACCAGAGTGAATTGCATTAATGATCTTCCTGGTGTAACTCAACTTGATGCGGCTCCCAGATCCATAGCTGCCCAAAAGAAGGAGAAGAAAAAAAAAACATTGATAGAGTAGGGTGATCCTTAAAAAGACCAACAGATCGAGCCAAGAGTCTGAGAGAGGGCAAACAATGTCACCTTCCACCAGACCAGCCGGTGTTAACGAGCCAGCCAGTAGCTCCATGCTTCTGCATCTTCTCGGCCAGCATTGCTGCATACCTAGTTGGATGCATCATTATGAAGGCTGCACCAAAGCAGGCTGAAAAGGTCGCCTGTGGTTCCTTGATTCCATCTTCCGTGCCAGCCACCTACAAGTCATTCATGGAGTTGTTAAGCACTTGTTAACCAATAAAACCTCTTTGACATGTTTCTTTTTCAATAGTGAAGGAGTAGTACCAGAGCAGTGTAACCGCTGATGAAATGGTACATGGTCTGCGCGAGGCTGAGCTTGCTCACCGGTGGGAGAACACCGAATGCGTCGCAAGCCAGAAGGATTACGTTCTTCGGATGAGGTCCCACGCAGGGTAACTTGGCGTTAGGGATGTATTCGATAGGGTAAGCCGCCCTTGTGTTCTCTGCAAACAAGAATCACAGCCCAGAAAAGGCACCAAGGAAAGAAGAAAAAAAAAAAACCCCAGTTAATGTGTGAACAATTGATATGAGAATCCTCTAATTTTACCTGTCACTGATTTGTCCGTGTAGTCCACTTCTCTTGTATGCTCATCGAACACCACATTCTCCAACACTAGCAACATAAAGAACAGAACAGAAAAGAACAGAACAGAATGAATTTTGTGACAAATATGAATCCAACCCCTAAAACAGAAAAAAGACTGTCACATTTACCTGTTCCGAACTTGATGGCATTGAAGATATCAGGCTCCTTCTCCGCGGAAAGATCAATGCACTTAGCATAGCAGCCACCTTCGATGTTGGAGACACCATTGTCGCTCCAGCAATGCTCGTCGTCCCCAATCAAGTACCTATTATGATCCGTCGAAAGGGTAGTCTTCCCAGTCCCTGTACATAATAATATTAACACAAACAATGCTACACTCTCTTTCGATTTCGGTTCATCATATTAATTAATCAATTGTTGCAAGCAAGCATGCCTGATAATCCGAAGAAGAGGGCAACATCCCCATCTTTGCCCATGTTGCAGCCAGAGTGAAGGGACAGGATCCCACGCAAGGGCATGAGATAGTGCATGACCCCGAACAGTCCTTTCTTCATCTCCCCGGCGTATTGGGTGCCCAAAATCACCATCTCCCTCCTCCCCAAGTTCAAGTCTATGCTGGTGGAAGAGGTCATGTAGTGAGTGTAACGGTTGCAGGGGAACTGCCCTGCATTGTAGATGGTGAAGTCGGGCGTTCCAAAGCTTTCCAGCTCCTCGGGAGTGGCCCGAATGCACCTGCAACAGCAACAACATATAGGTAGGGCATCACTTTTACAGACTCGTGGGTGTGTAATTGAGTTGATGGTAAGTTGTAAGTGGTGAAAACAAGTACATGTTGTGCATGAAGAGGGAGTGGTAAGCTCTGGCGGAGACGATTCGGACTTTGATCCTGTGTTCTGGATCCCAGTTGAGGAATTGATCGTTCACGAACACCTGTCATAATTAAGTTGCTAATAATTATTTAATGACGAATGGGACAGTGATGATGCACCAAAGGAGGAAGAAGAACAACTCAAAAGGGTTAGTGATGCAAGGGAATTTAATTCAACGGAGGAAATGGTGATGCAATCAGCACAGCTGTATTTCAGTTGGGGCACAAAAGAAGAGGAAAAAAAAAATAGAATGAAAAAGTTCGGCTGTGGCATCACAATCGTCCCACTTAATATACACAGTGAACTTAGAAGGGACGGGATGTGCCGTGCTGTTGTTTCCATCAAACTTTTGTACAATTGCAATTTGCAAATAGGGATGGCAATAGTTTAGCTGTTTAGGTTTCTCCATCCAGTCTGTGCATTTGTCAAAAATTGTGATAAAATTCTCGTTTAGGCTTTAGAAGAGAAACATCAACCTAGTAAGTATCCATGGTTGTATAGACACTCATGAGTTAACAAACATAATCGCTAATAATTACTCTGAAGACGCACGTTCTTATATTACCAAAACATTTCTGTAGCTATATTGCTATGAAGGCTAATAATAACATCAATAATTATTCATAGTATTAGAATTATATTGTGATACACACTAATAACATTCATAAATTGTTTATGTTATTAGGTTAATTACAAAACGACGTCTTTTTTTAAAGAGTGGATCAAATGGATAATGGGTTAGCTTCTGGTTAAACTCGCATCAAACCCACTATTCCAAAACCGGGATTTACCCGCACCCGAGCCAAGTCCATCTATTTAAATTTTTTAATTTTACCCACTTTGAATGAATTTAATTGAATTTTGTTATACTAAATAGATTCGGTTTCAATTGTCACCCTACTTGCAAATGAAAGGCGCGCCAACCCCAGCAGAAGAAAAAGAAAGATGGAAGTTGGAACCCTCAACCCTGGCACTGTCAATAATATTTGGCCCACGATAATAACAATAAGTCCATGCAACCGTGCGTGAAACTGGTTCGTTTTAATTGGAGGATTATTTTCTCTCTTCTTGAATATAACTTCTCTTGGATATCGATAGATAGGTCTCTGTTTGGACTTTGGAGTTTGGACTTTTTGAGCGAACATGGCGGGAAATGTCAACTTCATTAAGCGCTAATAATAATATATATAAGATGTTGGTTGGGATTGGAGGACCTTTCCTAGTTTATTATTATTTATTTTTTTGGAGAAAGTTTCTTTCTTTTTATGGAAGTGGGGAACAAAATATTCAAGGTTTCGGTGGTGGTAGGTAGGGATGGTAATTTTGACCTGATACGATTTATTCGGGGGTCATTTGGATCCAGATTTTTAATTTGTGGGATTTTGGCTCAAATCACTAGTTTAAAAACCCAGGTTTTTAATTTGTGGGATTTGTGTGGAATTTTAAAATAGCTGATGACCCCTCGATTTGTTTAGTCTGTTTTGGGGCGGGACGTGTATGGGTACCTTTCATTGACCTGACATGTCCCGATCCGCCCCTTTTTTGACCTGTTTCTATCTAAATTACATGTAATTTTAGTCAAATTACTTAGGAATTTTCTCTTATTACATCATATTTTAGCTATAATAAAATTGTCAATAAGTGAAAATCTCAATTTTTCTAATAACTTAACTACATTCTATCATATAATGGTTTCTTTCATAGTCTTTTAATGAAAATAAAAAATATTTCTAATGTTTTTTGCATAAATTCCATATCCATTGGATCGACCTATTCCATACCCACGAGACAAGTATGGGTATGGGTAATGAAATACTCGCCGTAAACTTCCCATTGCCATTCCTAGTGGTAGGGCATGTGGATCCGTTGAATCCAGAAGATAGAGAAGAACAGAAGTCTGGATCTATTGTCAGTAAAAGGGTGGGTGGAAAGCAAACTACGGCATTAACTCCGTGAAATATATTTAAGGATGGATACCCAAATCTCAGGCAATAAATCCCATTCACTTGTCTTTTTCGCCCGCACATATCCATTTTGATCATGTTTTAATTTTCTCATTTGTTTCGACTTTCAATTGTATTGTAATCGATAATATAACATATAAATTATACCATAAAACATATGAATTTATGGGCAAAATAGATAATTACTTCATCTTATTTCATGTGATTTTAAAATTTGCGACTTCACATGAATGGATTCATTATAATTATAAGTTACATGCTGTACTAGAAAAGCGATAACGATTAGATTATAATATTCGATACAAGGAGTCATTTGAAGAAGGAATTAAGAGGATAACAAATTCATAAAATCAAATGAAATTAATCATATTGTTTTTGTAACTTGGCTTATGTGATTCTAGGTTTAAGAGATAGTAATATCAAATCTATGCTAGGCGAATTTTAATATATAAAATCTCCTGGTTTTTATTGTTAATATAAAAAAAATTATGAAATAATCGTATGATATAAATGTATGCTGATTCTTGGTACAGTCATGGTTGCAAGATTTATGGCAGATTTTACGGCCCCTAGTCCCTATGCTCTGCTCTGAACGCGTAATTGGTTTGGTCACTCTCAAAATAAGGCGGGTCGGGTGGCGTCCATTAATTTAATTCATCCCTACATGACAATTGACATGCCACTTCTCTTTCTTTATAATCAATATTCATTCATTCAGGTAAGTAAGCAACAGGGGGAGGTGGTACATACCTTGTCCAAAGAGTTCAAGTAATCCACAGCTCGCTCTCTGTTCACCATGAACGTATGCTCGTCCATCTCGATGTTCGGCGATCCCCTGCAACGCAATCCCCATTTATTTATTATTCTTATGTTTAATAAGGGGGAAAAAAAGTCCAAAATCAGTCCCAGTCCCAGTCCCACATTGAGATTGAGGTTTTATTATGGGTGTGGCTACTCACTTTCCCCACCAAAGATCATCCTCCGTCGTATCGTCCCTCACCACGCGCTTGTCCCTTGGCGACCTCCCCGTCTTTGCACCGGACAGCGTCGCCAGTGCTCCCGTCGACGTTATGAACGATCCCTTCTCGTACTTTATCGCTTGCTCGTACAGCTCTGTTATAATGTAATAATAACAAACAATTGCAATAAATATACGCGGAGAACTGCACGCAACCCCAATCCCGATGACATATATGATAATAACATATATAAAAAATATATATTTGTTATTGAGACAGAACAGAGTACGTGCCAGCCGGGGAGAGATTGTAGAGGACGTGGGTGAATTTCATGGAGCTATCCGTCACGCTGATCGACGGCGTGTAGTGCTCCACCTGCGCCACCTTCGGCGTTGAGCTTCTCGCCGGATCACCCTTCACCACCTTCGGCCCCGTCTCCCGAGTCAGCGACGCCAGCGACGCACTGCAAAGTTCAATTTTTCTCGTTAATGAATCGACTCTTGTTCATAACATAAACAATTCGCTAATTAATTAAAGGGTTAATCAGTTTGGACCTGATGGACTGGAGCTGCTGCCGCTGGCGGTCCTCCTCCGACATGGCGGTGAAGAAGGCGCCCTGATTCGCGGCAGCGCCGGCTGGGGTGGTGCCGGCGGTGATGGGAGTGGAAGGAGTGGATCTCTTCTTCTGGAGCGAATGGAGCTCATCCAGCGTCTGCGCTTTCACCGGGGTCGCACTGTCGTCGTAACACAAATCCTCTGCTCTGGCGGCGGCGCTGCTCTGCCTGCTCAGCTTCTTGCCGTTGTCCTGCGTCTGGATCTTCGGCAGCCCGTTGCGCCCAGCACCCGCGCGGTTCCCCGTCGTCTTCGGCGATGACGCGAAGCTGAATTCCCCGCCGTTGTTATTCGCCCCGCCGGAAGCCATCTCTCTCTTTCACACTCTGTTTTCGATCACAAAGAAAAACAGGGGAGGGCGAAGAGATAAGTACGAGTCAATTGAGAATGCATATATATGGCGGAGGAATTGAATTGGGAGGATAAGGGTATGACGCAGAAATGGGAAATCGATTAATAAAAAAGCATAAAACTGAAACAAATTGAAGAACTTTCTTTCTCGAGAGGAGTGATGATTTTATTTTCCTTTTTTTTAATCTTTCTCGAGAGGAGTGATGATGATTCGTGCAGTGCAGAGTGATGTGAAGAAGAAAGGGTCAGAAGAAAATTACAATGACAAGCTGAGGAATTTGGTGGTCGGTTGCTTTCTGACAAATAACAAGATATTGGGCCTCCAATGGCGGAAGGAAGGAAGGGAAAGCTGGAAATTGGGTGTTGATTCCGTAAGGGCGCCTTCTGGGAGTGGAGTTATATAGGGGAGGGCGGGAAGGAGCCAGGCTTGGAATTTTACCACGGTTAGTTTTGTGGTTGGTGTGATGATGATTTCATTTGGGGGTAAAAGAGGGATGGTCAATGCTTAATACTTGCTTAATGGATTTTTTTCTTATTTGTTGGGCCAAGTATTAACATACGTGGGCCTGAGGCCCATGGTTACAAAGGCCATAGAAAGTTAGGCCAAGTTAGGGCGGTCTGTCCCACTCTTATCCTCGGTGACCGCCCGACACTGACGTACATACACGTCAGTAAACCGCCGACAGAAAGATTGAAGCTACGCTGAACTGAGAAAGTCATACATTCGTACTGACATAGCATTTAATGAGTTCAGAGGCGTCCCAAACCGCCTGACACAACATTATTGTCTCAATCCCGAGTCCAAGTTAGTATAAATAGCCCCAAGGGGGCAGCATTTATGGTAACTCCTATCTACTCGATTCTCTCTCTAATTCACTTTACAACCATTTCTCTCTCTAACTTAGGCATCGGAGGAGGTCCCAGGTCACTCCTTGTGGACCTTTCTTGCAGGGCTTCGAAGACCGCTGTTCATCTACAAAGGACCACCGAAGTCAGTGAAGTCTCACAAAACTGCCCGGTACGAACCAGGCATAAACATTTTGGCGCCCACCGTGGGGCCTAACTACTTCGTCGACAAAGATGGGCGACGATTTCGAAACCCCTCTCAAGGGAATGACCAAGAACAACACGCTCCGAGGTCTATCACCGAGAGTCGAAGATGAATCCGAGTTCGAGGAGGTAGTCTAAAATCAAGGCCTACAAATTGCGAGCATGCAAGACAGCCTGTCGCAAATCCTCCAGCTCTTGAAGACAAAGGAAGACCTCGCCGAGGGTTCAAAGGGGAGAACGCGGGAGGAGAAACAGAAAGCCGTCCTAGTCCTCGATAGCCCTGCTCGGACAGAAGGCGGGGGACCGGAGGCAGAAGAAGTGGATTTGGGCTATCTTGAAGAGCACCTGCGGTCGACCTATGGGAAACATAAAAGCCCGAATGTCCTTCAAACCTCACTATCCAAAGAGCTGTTCAAGACCCCGGTACCGCCAAACTTCTCCTCCCTCGGACTACCCACATATGACGGGACTTCAGATCCCGCGGACCACCTTTGCGCCTTCATGCTAAAAATGCAACTTATAAACGCTTCAGACTCCGACTTATGCAGAGCATTCCCCGTCACCTTCAGCGGCCAGTGTCGGACATGGTATACCTCCCTCCCGGAAGGGGTGATAGAGAATTTCGAGCAATTTGCGATTCTCTTCTCCACGAAGTTCGCGTCTCAGCGGCGTCGCAAGCTCAGAATTTCGGCACTCATAAACTGTAGACAAAAGAAGGAGAAGTCGCTTGCATAATTCTACGACCGGTGGAATGCGATCGCCTGTGAAATAGATGGCATTTCCTCGTTCGTAGCCGCCGGTAACCTAAGGATATCTACCACCAGCATTGAACTCAAAAGGACCTTGATAAAAAAGGAGGCCATGTTGACGTCATGGTCAGATATGGACTAGTTGGTACGACGAGCTATCTTGATTGAAGAGGTGCTAGCTACCGACGACAGGAGTCATCAGGGTCGCTCCCGGAACGATCCCTCAGAGCGTGCAGAAGCTCGACGTAGAAGGCGTTCTCCTGAACGAAAGCCATACCGCAACAGGTACTCAGAGCGCGATGGCAAAAGGGAGGCGTATTCCATAGACCGAGAAAGGGGAAGAGATAGACGAAGAGGCGGGAGAAAGCCAGAAGTGGTCACCGGCCATGAACCGCCAGAAGGTAAGAAGTGGTGCGACTGGCACCAAATAACTACTCATGACACCACCGAGTGTAGAGAATTCAAAGCCAGCTTGAAATATTTAGCTCCCGGAGACCTACGCAGTCGCCTCGAAACGTGGCGCCCACATCGTGACCGCTCCCAAGAGTTGCGAGAAGCTTCTCACAGCCTCGAAACGGACAAAGGTAGGAGGACCCGCAAAGAAAGGTCGAGGTCCCCCTCGAGAAACAAGGTTATCACGCCCCAATGGCAGTCTCCCGCTTATCGACCCCAGCGTGGGGAAGATGACGGGATGGAGATCATTACCATAGAAGGGGGCAGAAAGCGCCCCGGATCTTAAGCATACCACCTTGACCACCTAAGTCACTGCCTCAGTGTGCAGCGCAGAGCGTCTACCGACGTTACTTTCCTGCCATCCGAGTTGGCCAAGGAGGAAAACTCAGAAGATCCATTGGTCATCTCATTCAGTATCGACAAAGTTCAAGGTCACGCGGGCCCTTGTGGACAACGGGAGCTCCGCGGACATTCTCTTCTACTCAGCGCTCAAAGGTATGAAGAAAAGTGTGCAAGACCTCAACCCCTCTAACACCAGTTTGGTGGGGTTCTCAGGAACAAAGGTTCGCGTCCTTGGGTCAATCACCCTCAAAGTCAACATAGGCGAGGGCGGGATTACTAAAACCAAACCGGTGGAGTTCCATGTAGCGGACTGTCCCTTGGCATACAATGCGATCCTTGGGCGCGGTTTCCTAGCTTCATTCGAAGCAGTCGCATCCACCTGCCACCAAATGCTGAAGCATCCCAAGGCGCGACCAATACAACAACGAAGAAGACACTTATTGGTGGAAAAGCAGTTAGCCCTAGAAGAAGAAGTTCGGAAGCTACTCAACGCCAGGTTCATCAGAGAGGTAAAATATCCCACTTGGCTCTCGAACCCGGTCTTCGTACGCAAAGCAGGGGGGCACCTGACGAATGTGCATTGACTTCACTAGTCTGAACGCTGCGTGCCCCAAGGACGCGTACCCCTCCCCCGCATCGACCAACTGATCGACGGAACCACCAATCATGAAGTGCTCAGCTTTTTAGACATGTTCTCGGGGTACCATCAAATCAAAATGGTGGAGAGCGACCAAGAGTCTACTGCTTTCATGACACCAATGGGTAACTTCTGCTATGTGGTCATGCCCTTTGGACTCAAGAATGCTGGAGCAACCTATCAACGGATGGTCGATGCGGTCTTCAGATACCAAATGGGAAGGAACGTGGAAGCTTATGTCGATGACGTTCTAGTTAAGAGCAAGAAAGACAGTGACCATCTTTCTGACCTACAAGAGACTTTCGAGACTCTAAGGCGGAAGAATTTGAGGCTCAATCCACTCAAATGTGTTTTTGGAGCCGAAGCGGGAAAGTTTCTTGGCTTCATGATAACGAAGCGAGGGATAGAAGCCAATCCGAAACAAATAGAGGCCATACGCAATTTGAAGCCCCCAAAGACAATCAAGGAGATACAGGCGTTCAATGGCAAGATGGCCGCATTAGGGAGGTTCATCCCGTGGTCTGCAGACAAGTGCTCCCCTTTCTTTCAAATGCTGAAGAAGTCAGCCTCAAGACTCAGTGGGGCGTCGAATGCGACAAGGCCTTCACTCTGCTAACAAACCAGCTTGGCTCCCCACCAATCTTGAGCGTCCCCATTAGCGGCGAAAGGTTTTATCTCTATCTGGCGGTGTCAGAATAAGCTATGAGCTAGGCCTTAGTGCAAAGAGCCCAAGACGGTTCTCATCAACCAGTTTACTACGTGAGCAAAGCGCTTCTACCCGCCGAAACGAGATACATGTCGGTCGAAAAGGCAGTCCTTGCCATTGCCTCCGCAGCCTGAAAACTAAGGTCGTACTTCCAGGGGCACCCTATCACGGTGCTAACCAATCTTCCCCTCAAGAGTGTCATGCGGGGAATGGATGCCTGAGGAAGGTTGACCAAGTGGCCGGTCGAACTCAGCGAGTACGACATCGAGTACACCTCGAGACCAGCCATCAAGGGTAAAGTCTTGGCGGATTTCATCACCGAAGGATTCTCCATAACCGCCGCTCCCTCCGAGGAGCGCAGCCAAATCTGGCGTCTTCACGTTGACGGGGCAGCAGGGAAAACCGACTCAGGGGCAGGTATAGTCATAGAATCACCCGACGGAGTCGTCCGTGAGATATCCCTAAGGTTCAAAGACATCAAGACCAACAATGTCGCTGAGTATGAGGCTCTCAGCAATGGGCTCAGGATACTTTCCAACCTGGGCGCAACCGACGTCCACATCTTTTCGACTCTCTCTTGGTGGTTCGACAAGTACATGAGGCATTCGAAGTTAAAAATGAACCGCTAACCGCCCTAGCTAGCAAAGTCAGGAGCGCCCTAGCAGAGTTGAGCTCCTGGAAGCTCGAGCATGTCAGGCGGGACGACAATCTACATGCCGATGCGCTGTCCAAACTGGCGACCGCCATGGACTTCAAAGGAGACCGCCATGTCACGATCACCAAAGAGGGCGACCTCCCTGAAGAAATCATGGTTATAGGGGACGCGTCGGACTGGAGGACGTCCCCGTTCCAATACTTGGAGCACGACATCACCCTGCAACATCCAGGAGAGCGAAAAGCGCTTAAGCAAAAAGCGGCAAGGTACACCATTGTGGATGGAAAGCTGTGCAGATTGTCATTCTCAGGAACGTATCTGAAGTGCCTCGGACCAGAAGAGGAGAAGTGGACGCTCAAAGCGATACACGAGGGAACATGCGCCACGCATGCGGGTGCCAGGTCGCTTGAAAGAACAGTCCTCTTGCAAGGATACTACTGGCCAACGGTCAAGGGCGCTTCAGACGTCGTCCAAAAATGTCATGCGTGTCAAGTCCATGCCTCCAAACACCACCTGCCTAGTTCCGAGCTGCAAAGCGTGGTGAGGCCATGGCCATTCGCTAGATGGGGCCTTAACCTGTTGGGACCTTTTCCCACAGCTCCACTAGGGAAGAGATACTTGGTGGTGGCGGTGGATTACTTCACCAAGTGGATAGAGGCAGAATCGCGAGAAAAGATCACGAGCACTCAGGTCTAGAAGTTCGTGTTCAACAACATCATGATCCGCTTTGGCATCCCACAGTCAAGCATCCCCGACCACGGCACACAATTCGATTGTACACCG